CTCTTGCCAGGGTTTGGAGGAAACGCCTGTGATTCTTCCTCACTGTGCCACAGGCTAGTTTTTCAAGGCAATATAAATTTTTAAATAATGCTATACTTGTATAGTAATTGTCAAACCATAGTCTGTATCCCTTATTTGGCAAAGGAAGGATTACATCCCAAACAATCTTGCCACTTATACTCACAGAATCAGGGCATCCTGGTGGGTCAAGATGGCTATCCTTCCCCTGGTAAATGTGAAACGCCGATGTGTAACCAGTACAGGATTTGCATAATTTAAAATTTAACACCATATCGGGACAGCTTAGATGGTATATATTGTTTAAAGAGCAGTCGACCTTTGAATTTCATTAGGGATTCGTCAACTGAATTTCCCCCAAAAAAAAATTCTTAAAATTTGTCTGAAAGGAGTTGGATAAAAGGCTGAAAGTTTATAGAGCCTGTCAAACAGTAGGACGTTTCTAGGGGAACAGTTATTAAAATGAAGGAATCGCAGCAGTTGCAGGTAGCGATCCCTCTGCATAACCTCAGGGAAAAGAGTGGTAGCCAGGATGCTTTGCTTGCTCCAGTAGGACCTGATACTGGGCTTTTGAACTATTCCGATTACTAGGGTTAAAGCCCAAAACTGCTTCATCTCTGCAACATTGCGACTATGATACCCCGGATGTGCAGAGATACTGCATGGCAAACAAATTAGTTCGCAGAGCCATGAGCTGAAATAAGTCGTCCGACAACGCTTTAAAAATAAAATAAAAAACTAATTGGCTTGCAGTCGTACACGGTTACAGTGATGCTAGGTGTAACAGTGAACAGCAGTATTTCTGGGGCCATCATGTTGGGGGGGGGGAAGGGGGGCTCAGTCTCCATCTGGCATTTGTCTCTTATCGTCCTCTTGTGGGTAGTGGTGGGGCACAATCACTTGAGGTCTCACTCAGAAGCTCAATGTCAGAGGCAGTGATAGTGTCACAGTCTTGCAGTGTCACTATCACTGCCTGCCAGAAAGGCATCCGCCTCCTCTGCCGAGTAGCGACAGGTCATTCAATCAAATCAATTAACAAAAAAAAAAAAACTAAGGGGGGCAATTACTTATTTACCTGCCTAACACCCACTACCACCCTCAAAAACTCACGAAAAATAAAATAAATGCACTGATCACAGTTTAGGCAATTGTGATCAGTACTGAAAGGGTTATTTAAAAAACAAAACAAAAATATATAAAAAGCCATAAAAAAAAAAAAAAAAAGGTCAACCTGATCAGAGAGCCCTATGATCAGTGATACAGTACTATACAGCAGATATACTGTACTGCAGCAGGGAAGGGGTTAAAGGAGATTTGGGTTGCTGCAACTGACACAAAGGATCAAAAGTTCAAAATCTATTTTTTTTACCCCTCCCAAACAAAATATAGTACAAAAGTACTAAGCCCTAAAACGGCTGATCAGTGTTAATGCTGGAGAGAGAGAGATATCCATCTCACTCCATATCTATATAGATCTATATATAGATATAACTATAGATAGATATAAAAAAAACTTAAGCTTTTAAACTATTTTCCACTGGAGTTACTATCAGCAACAATCTCTCTGCCTCTCAGAAGTGAGGAGAAGGGCAGAGACAATCGGCCAATGATTTAAAATAATTGGCTACTATAACATTGCTGTATGAGAGTTCAATTACTCAATAACTAGGTGCCAATACCCCATGGCACTCCCTAAAACACCCAGTAAAAAAAAAAAATAAAATAAAAAAAAAAATAAAAAAAAATTGCACACTAGATTTTCCTAAGTGACACAAATGCTTTATTGAACCAAAATAGGCCATAAACAAAAAGCAAATTTGAAGTAACAATAAGGTAAATAAATTCAGCAGTGGTACTGACCACAACTTACTCAAGCCTATTCTGGCAGAAACACGAGCCCCTAATACCACCAGTGTTTCGGCACCGCCTGGCTGCCTTTCTCAAGGGTGCAGAAACGGTGGTATTAGGGGCTCGTGTTTCTGCCAGGATAGGCTTGAATACGTTGTGGTCAGTACCACTGTTCAATTTGCCTTGTTACTTCAAATTTGATTTGGTGCTCCTTTTGATTATTTGCTTTGTGTTTGTTATGACCTGTTTTGGTTCAATAAAGCATTTGTGTCACTTAGTAGTCGTCTAGTGTGCACTCTTTGTATTAAAATCACTGGCTGACACATAGTAACAGTGATCGCAGTGACTGCCTGTTACTGATCACATGCTGCAGATCGCAGTCATTGGCCACAGTGGGATGGCCTGGGTTGCCAGGCATGTCCCAAGATCTGCATGGGGCGAATGGCGGCATCCACATTACATTCCAGACACTAGATCCTTTACTCAACTCTGGATCATCTACACAATAGATCACTGTATAGAATCTGAATCCTCTACACACATTCACTAGATCTCCAATATACTACATTACTGACACTCTGGATCCCCTAAGCACGAAAAGTTAGAATATCGTGCAAAAGTTTATTTCAGTAATGCAACATAAAAAAAGGGGTCAAATATATGAGACACGCATTACATGCAAAGCAAGATAGTTCAAGCTGTGATTTGTTATAAGTGCAATGATTATGGCTTACAGCTCAGGAAAACCCCAAATCCACAATCTCAGTAAATTAGAATATTGTGAAAGGTGCAGTATTCTAGGCTCACAGTGTCCCATTCTAATCAGCTAAGTCATAACATCTGCAAAGGGTTTCTGAGCCTTTAAATGGTCTCTAAGTCTGGTTAAGTAGGAATCACAATCATGGGGGAAGACTGCTGACCTGACAGTTGTGCAGAAAACCCATCATTGACACCGTCCATAAGGAGGGAAAGTCAAAAAAAAAAAAAAGGGTAACTGCAAAGGAAGTTGGATGTTCCCAAAGTGCTGTATCAAAGCACATCAATAGAACGTTATGTGGAAGGGAAAGTGTGGAAGAAAAAAAAAAAAGTGCACAAGCAGCAGGGATGACCGCAGCCTGGAGAGGATTGTCAAGAAAAGGCCATTCAAAAGTGTTGGGGACTTTCACAAGGAGTGGACTGAAGCTGGAGTCACTGCATCAAGAGCCACCACACACAGACGGATCCTGGACATGGGCTTCAGATGTCATTCCTTTTGTCAAGCCGCTCCTGAACAAACAACGTCAGAAGCATCTTACCTGGGCTAAAGAAAAATAGACCTGGTCTGTTGCTCAGTGGTCCAAAGTCCTCTTTTCTGATGAGAGAAACTTTTGCATCTCATTTGGAAACCAAGGACCCAGAGTCTGGAGGAAGAATGGAGAGGCTTACACTGCAAGATGCTGGAATTCCAGTGTGAATTTTCCATAGTCTGTGTTGATTTGGAAAGCCATGTCATCTGCTGGTGTTGGTCCACTGTGCTTCATTAAGTCCAGGCTCAACGCAGCCGTCTATCAGGAGATTTTGGAGCACTCGTGCTTCCTTCCGCAGATTAGCTTTATGGGGATGCCGACTGCATTTTCCAGCAGGACTTGGCATCTGCCCACACTGCCAAAAGCCTGGTTCAATGACCGTGGGATTACTGTGCTTGATTGGCCAGCAAACCCGCCTGACCTGAACGCCACAGAATATAGGGGGCATTGCCAAGAGAAAGATTAGACATGAAACCGAACAATGCAGAAGAAGTGAAGGCCGCTATTGAAGCATCCTGGTCTTCCATAACACCTCAGCATTGCCACAGGCGGATAGCTTCCATGCCACACCGCATTGAAGCAGTAATTGCTGCAAAAGGGGCCAAAACCAAGTACTGAGTCCATATGCAGGCTTATACTTTTCAGATGTCCGATATTGTTCTATGTACACTCCTTGTTTTATTGATTGCATGTAATATTCTAATTTACGGAGATTGCAGATTTGGGGTTTTCATGAGCTGTAAGCCATAATCATTGCACTTATGACAAATCATGGCTTGAACCATCTCATTAGTTCCCCCTTTTACATTGCATTACTGAAATAAATTAGCTTTTGCACAACATTCTAATTTTTCAAATATCACCTGTAGATTCCTTGTAGACAAACACTCTACAACCCCTACACACTCAGTCACACATACATTACACTCCAAACATAACATGACTGAAACTGACTTATTTACACAATACCACACCACAATCAGCTCACTATACACGCAATCACACAAGCAGGCTCCAAACACATGCAAAATACTCTTTCCTAGCCCTTTTGTCTCCTGGTATCCCTTTTATGAAGACAGACAAGTTGCAAGCAAACAGCATAAGCATGTTATTAAATTTGCTTGCGCTGTGCAGAATACAGGGCCTTTTTCTCATGCTAGAGCTCTTCGGCAGAGCTCTGCACATGGTCTGCCCTGGAAGAGCATAGAACCAACATGCTCACTTTGACAGGGTGCGTGCTTGACATTTGTGATGACAAAACACACCCTTATCTGGTCCTGCCCCCTTCTCAGTGGGCAGCTACGATTAAAAAATGCCCAGGCCGAATTTTGTCTGAGCTAAATTGGGGGTTAGGTTAAGGAGTAGCCTGATAAGGCAAGTCTCAGTAAATATTTTGAAATTTGATTTATTCTGATAGAGATCCTCTCCAGTGATTTATATAAGCGTACTTGTTACGTTCCACACAGCATAGGATACTTTTGATAATTCCAGGTTGCGCCAATCCTTGGGATACAAGAAATTCTAAGAAAGCGTAAGTGCTGCAGCAGTGTGTAAATTGAGGACTGTCCCTCACCACCTGCAATCACCGATAATGTTGCACTAGCATACAGCTGAAGTTCCAGTGATAAGTTAGCCTGTTTGGCTCTGGCAGCCTTGAGTACAATACAAAGGCAACTAGTGCCATAGGTTGCATACCCCTGTCCTAGCAAATGCCCACCAGAAAAAAAGCCCACAATGCAAGTAGTCAAAACAAGAAACATTTATTCAGTCATAAAACTGAAGAATACAATATTTCAACAGTAACAAAAAACACAAACAGAACAAAAAAAGAAATAGAAAAGAAAAAGATTCACTTTACAATATAACTATGCATTTTATGCAAACAAGCAAAATAAAATAACCAATGGCTTCTGTGATATTTGTAGTAATTTTCTGAAAATAAATCTTAAGAGTTTTGTTAGATGCATCTTTATCCCCAATTTTCCTCCTCATCTGCCACAAATGCAGTACTCTGAATGGACTCTTGCACAGTCTTCTGCAAAAGAAAAGTTTCCATATACAGACCGTTATTGCATATTTTTAGTCAAGCTGGTTAAAATTTTATATCAGCTTTAATCATATGATCAGCCATTCGTCTGATGCAAATATGGATTAAGTGGATTTTGCTAATGCTAAAAGTACATTAACCACCCAGAAAGGGCAGCGTCAACCTTTTAGATAAATTCAAAGTAAAAATTATGGTATTTTATGGACTCAAAAGCTTAACCTGGTGCGATGCTAATGTAATAGGTTAAAGGATAGAGTGCACATACATCAGGGTGCTTGTCCTTTTAAGTTTGTGTCACAAGCCATACCCAAACTTTCAAGTTAATTTTTCTAAAGCCTAAAAAAAAAATTTGTCTTCTAAACCTTTAAAAGCATGAGTAAATATGCAGATGTCTAGCTCCAAAAAGACAAAATTGATAAAATTCTGTGCAAGTCTAATCTCCTGTTCTGTATTGAATGTGCCAGTCCATTGTAAGATGGAAGCAAAAAAAAAAAAAAAAAATATAAGTAATGACTACGCATCGGAGGCTTTAGAAAAATTCTAAGATGCATTCATGCTTGAATTTGTGTCAGGAGAATTTGGCCAAGACATTTGAACTTAAGGAAATTTCTGTCAAGACCGCAGATTACCCAAGTATGACCAAAAGACCTTTCAGGTGAAAGAATAAATTTGTGAACTTTTAACAATTGATTCTTCATTTTCAAGTAAGGCTTCGACACCAAGCAATGGAAACAGGTTTTAGAGTGTTGGAAATAAGTAAATTAGTCAAGGAGGTGTCCCAGGGTAAAATTTAAAGGAAAATGGTTTCATTTATACTTCTATAAGACAAATCTCAAATTATGACTCCAAGAAAATATGAGGAAAACAATTGGGCTGGGTTCAGGGGCTCTCTGGTCCACAAGCTATAATCATTCCGGTGCACCACAGATGTAAGGTTTTCCCAGTACACATTAAGCCTTCACTCGAGACTTGGTACCTCCAGTAACCCAATCACCTTTGCTGCGAACTGCTGTATACAGAGATGTGGAGAGATGGCAGACCTGCTACATACGTGTGGGGTATCCCAGTAACCAGTGTAGTTGGCCTGGCCATCCATGCTGCACTCACCTCTGATTCAGAGTTGCATTTTAACTGCAACACTACTTAGGCCTAACCAAATTTGTGGATGTACCTAATTTAGCCTTTATCCCTCTATTCCAGAGTCCCCACAGCAGTTCTAAGAAAAATAATTTGCAACGCTTGGATGTCATATTCTAGAGCTTCTGGCTTAAGCTATTTGAATGCCTAGCTGCATCAGTGACCTAAATTGCAAAACAGCCATCCCGTAACCAGGGCACCATAGAACAGTGGTACCATTCAGGACACCAACTTTGCAAGCGCCTTCCTGGGCCAAGAGCCTCCCGAGGCTATGCCTCTGCATCGACCACGCAGGCCAAATATCAACCGCCACCAGCAGTTCTTGAAATTAAGGGATCTGAACTCACATCCTGAGCAACAAATGTTGGCAAATGTTGCTTAGTTAGCACTGGCAGATAAATTTAAATAGAGAAAATGCTGTATATCGTTACGTTTACTCTTACTGCTGTAACAGCCAGTGCAGCAAGTTCGAAATTCGGTGACAATTTGGTGGCCAACACTTGCGTCTCATCTAAAAAGCCTTCGTTCTTGCATTAGCTTTGAATGATGTAGCACCTTGAAAACAACTTTGTTTTCCTGGCACTAGTTCCTCTTTGTTAATATGCAAGTATCTGCTGTTGTGGGACTCAATGTAAAAGCAAATCACAAAATCACAACACTAGTACAAGTATGTTGTCTCACCTTTCTGTTATCAACTGATGCAAATACATTTCCATGTGGATTGTAGCCAGATGTTCCATGTGCATTGTAGGCAATTTCTTCCAAAAATGGTGGGACCTCCTGATGAGCCTACGGAAATATTTGTTAATATCAGATTACAGTCCTATACAAGACTGTTCACTAAAGTGAGAATTCAAAGTGATTTTCAAGTTTAGCAATCAAACTGGAAACATTCTCTAAGTCAGTTATGCTTCCAGTTCATCTACTGTGGCTTTACATTTAACAGGGTTTCCACTAAATTGAGCATTTCATAGTCTTTAATGTTTGTTAACCTAAATGTTAAACAATAGTAAGCTATATTTAAAAAAAAAAAATTATATTCTTACTTTAATTTGTGTTTTGCATGTCACCACAAGCAGTGGTAAACTTGTGTTTGTTTACTGGAGTGAATAACAGTGGAGGTATGGTAAACACCATGATAGCCTTTATTAGGGTTGCAGATCAAAGGACACTTCTATGAACGTGTGTTCTAAATTTGGAGCACAATCAAGAAATGTTGAGTAAAATAAAGTTTTATAATTGCTTAGGAAGAGGAATCTCATCTAAGCGGCACATGCCACCAATTAAAGCTTGTTTGCCTATCTGCCTTTGTTTATCCTAGATTTTCATCAGTTTTGTTACTCAATCCACATTAGGAGTTTCATAAAGAATGGGCTAGGACAAAATACATGTGCATGTATGTCAGATACACATCAGTTATGTAAACAAAAGTGCAACTTAAGTGATACTATAGGCACCAAAACGACTAGTTTAATGAAGCAGTTTTACCTGTGCAGTCTTAGAGCTAAATTCTCTGCCATTTGGGGTTTAATCAGATCATGCTGTCCTAGCCACACCTCCCCTAACTCACTGGCATACACATTAAAAAAAATCTCTTCCTTAGATTTTCTTTTTATCTCCTGCTCTGTTAATTGGACTTTAAACAGAATGTACAATAAAAGGATGATTATTTTATGATTATTATTAAGGCAATGCTTATGGGGGATTATGTAGACACATACAGGTGCAAATGTTTTATGTACGAAGGCCTCATTTTCAAGAAAGATTAAAAGTGCCATTATTAATAGAAATTGGAACCATTCTAAATTAACATGGTTACACCCCCTGGCATTCCAGCATACAACTCCTGGTTAGTGTAGCTTTGTGAAGCTAAACTAGCGAGTCAGGCATTTACACCTGCCTTCTCACTTATCTGCACTGGGCCGATTGGATAGTCAAAGTCTGGTATGAGTTAGAAATGGGTAAATGCATATAAAACAGTTTAGTTTTATTTGGGCAGTGCAACTGCAGGATCTATACACCAAACAAGATGTTAGCCAATGTTTTGATGCCTTCTAGCAGGGGTGGGGAACCTTTGGCCCTCCAGATGTTTTTGACTACATCTCCTTTGATGCTTTGCCAGCATTGTGGCAGATTCCGTTCAAGACATCTGGAGGGCAAAAGGTTTCCCCCACCCTGCCTTATAACATCCTTTAATGAGGACTACATAGTAAATCCACATTTTGATCCCTGGACGCAAGGTGATAATCTCATGAGTCGGGGTTTGATAAACTTCAACACATGCAATACTGAAGTGGTCCTCTAGGTTACATTGTCCGTCAAGTTAATTTTGATACATACATTTTCTTCAATTACATTTGACATCAAAACAAATTTGTACACTCACATCAGTTAACACTTTCACTAATGAACGAGCAACTGCCACATCTTCTTGGTTTGCTGGATCAAAAAATGAAATTGCTTTTCCAGTGTTACCACAGCGACCTGTACGTCCAATTCTATGAACATACTCATCAATATCCTTTGGAAGATCAAAGTTGATCACATGTTGAACATTTTCAATATCTAAGCCTCTGGCAGCAACTGAAGTGGCAGCAAGTACTGAACACTTCCCACTTCGAAAATCAAAGAGGGCAATCTCTCTTTCCCTTTGTTCTCGATCACTAGAGGTGGGGGGGAAAAAACATTAAGTTTTTTTTTATTGATAACATGGAATCTGAGACAGGTGCCACCAAACAATGTTATTAAACCTTTCTGCATTAGCTAAAGTATGGGGTTATATCAAAAGGAATTGCTTAAGTATGCTTTACTGTGCTCTGAATACATGCAATCTGGTGGCATTTGATGCAGTGAGGCACAAGTCAGTTCTTATATGTCAGCTGTACCTCCGAGAGCTTTAACAGCTAACACTTTCTGAAGTGGTGAGAAAGTTTCTTTACAGAGACTGCAAACACTTCTAGGCAATAATAGGGTGTTTCCATAATGGAGGCATTGACAAACATTTTAAACACTTGTCTTGTTCTAGGAAACGTCAATACACAGACAATGATTCAACTAAATTAAAGACTTACTGCACAACATTTTACCAACTAAAGATTTATCCCCAGTTTAATATCAATCAACTAAAAAAAAAGGCATTCTTCTTTTAGAAACTATTCTTTTTTCCTAAATAAATGGATCAAAATAAAGACAAAGTAGTCCCTTTGACTTATGTATTTTGTCAGGATATTTATATCGGCAGACATTTTGTGCTAAGAAAGAAATTAAAAGTGTATATTGCCAGAGTAACTCAGAACAGAGCAGACTCCATTTTGCTATCTTCAGAATAACAGACAATTTCCTTGCTTTCCTAACCACTGAGCCTGAGCTAAGGAATGCATTATATAAACACAGACACTAGTGACAGAAGAGTAATTTTACTTTCTAAATTTAACAAGGTCCCATTGTAAGTAAGGGGTGAAATTGAGTTTAGAACTGTCAATTTTAGAAAACGATCAAAGTTGCCACAAAGACTGAGAAACGCTTTGAACTGACAGCAAATTTAAGTTATGGTAGTCATTTTAGATAAGCCAAATGGCATCAAAAGAGTCATCAGGAAAAGTTAAGGTTTAGTAAGGAGAGACTGCCCTCTATGGACCAAATACCTAAATTGCGATCTGAAGGTTGAACACACCTACAGTTTCCTATTGGCTTTATCAACTAATGACGTACAGAGAGTCTGGCTCTTTAAAAGTTAGGACAAAGGGAAGAGAGGGGTAGTTGGTGGAGTTTGGGCATTCAGATTCGGACATGCAGAGAGATTCAGGACACTCTGGGACTAACACTCAACTCTTAAACTCCTTGACACTTAAAATTTACTGATACTTTCTAACCATCACTTTTCTCTATTACTCACGCACCTCCATACAACCAATCATACTCGCATTTTCCTGAGACTACTCATCTGATGAGAATACCTACATAACTGGTAATTATGCTGGTTTTATTTAATCAATTAAAAATTTACTAATAGCATGATATACGACTGGATAAATCAAGGTCAGATTTCAATATTTAGAAATCTTAGTTAACTAAAGAATATATATTTATAAACATTCCATTCTGCAGGTGGAATTAAGATTATATATTAATGTGATATTATCACATGTTAGCATACCGCTGTTTTTATCTAGGTGTATTGATTTGCTCTAAAATAAGATATTTTTAGGCAATTTAAAATTTGCCTTTTGTAAAAATCTGGTAGATTATTCTTATTGGATGGTTCCAGGAAATGACTAATGACCTGTTTCGAATGTTATTTTAATTGAAAATTACATGAGAATAGGTTTTTATATGCCTAGGAGGATCTAGCCAGCATTTAAATGGTTACTCCATTGATTTAACTGTTAGCCAAGATTTTATGGCTTTTCACTGTGTGAAGCTTTACTCTGTCTGAAGTACCCTCAAGTCTTATTAAGTGACAGGTAATGCTGTTAGCCATTGGAACGTGTATAGCCATTCCATTGTATACTTATGTTATACTAAATATTCACTAATTATCATGCATGCTGCCTAATATTGTTATTTTGTCACAATATATTAAATCTATTTTTATAACAAATTGTGATTTTATTTGTATGGAATACATTTCACTTACATGATAACGATCTGAGATCTAAGAATTAAAATAGTGGGCGATTCTCGACTGTATAATATCATCCCATAAATATCCCCACAATTTCTTACTCTTGATAAAGCGTAAATCTTAAAGCAGGCTACACCTTGTCAAGGTAATGGGAGCTGCTGTAAGCTCCTCCCTATGCCAAACAAAAAGCAAAATAGCCTGTCTAATATCAGAAAGCAACATACTCTGAAAAATGGAAAATAAAACAAAGGCAAGTTTGAGGTAACAGCCAGTTTAAATTTCTGTATGTTTTATAATCAATGTCATGTTTTAAAATGCAATCAATACACTGATTGGCAAGTTCACAAACCGGTAGCTACACAAAGTGAAACTTTCGTAACTATTCCATTAGATTCTTAGCAAGCATAAGCTAAATGTAAAATAGCTTAAAAATGTATATACTGACAATTTCTGAAGTACAAATATACTATAAAAGTTTATAATACCAACCCATGGATGCTCGTTGTGGTTATATTTTGTTGACATAAAAATGAAGCTATGAAATCTGCACTCTTCTTGGTTTTAACGAACAACATTGTCCGTTCATTACCTGGAAAGAAAGGAATTAAACATTACATATTTGAAATTCAAATAAAAAAACAGCTTTCATATTTCAAATTGTACACAGAGGTGAGTACAGAAATAAAAAATGCGGTTTAGCATAACAGTGGTAACATATAGAAAATGTAGTTCTTTACAAAAAAAAAAAAGGAAAACGGAGTGATAGGGAGAAAGTAAATATATTGGGAAAATACAAATCTTAAGGAACCCTGCAAGCACCATAAACACAAAATAAAGTGGCAATGGTGCCGATCATTGTTCACTGCCTCAACCCCTGGTGTTAATTGTAAATGAGCAAGTTAGAAGTGTTCCTCCTCCGGCACATTGTAATTAAAGGATAGGATGCATAGGACCAAACATCTTCACTAAATGTTGATTAAAGTCATTGACCAGTGATCTGGCACCCAACGTAGACCAGGCACCAAAACAATGAATCAGTTGTAGTTATGGTGCCTACCTAGTGCTTCTTAAATTTGAGCTAATCCTGGAAATACAAAATGGAAGGAATAACGGCACTAGCAAGGAGTCTGTTAAACATACGCTACATCCCTAGAGCACTTTTACTTGCTGAAGATCTTTGTGTGATAAGTTACTTCCTGGTTGCTTAGCTCAGTGGAACTGAATTTATTTTCATTTTTCAGAGTATGTTGCTTTCTGATATAAGAGGCAGGCACTGCAAGTCTGAGCTGGTGGAGTGTTTGCAAAGGCTTCAGAAAATAAATCTGCAGCTTTTTCAAGCCATTTTACATTTACACCCAATGAAAAGATGCATTTTTTCATTGGTGGTATATCTAAACAGTATTTTTTGTATTTGGGCAAGTGAGTGCGCCTTTTTGTTTTTAACTATTTTGGCCAATAAAAATTTAAAGTTAGCATTTACGAATTATAAAAAAAAACCTGAGTGAGGAAAACAATGATTTATAAGATTAGGCAGAAAGAGGCTAAGCAAGTTATAAGAGCTTCCAAATCACACACAAGAGAAAATAGCAGAGTCAGTAAAAAAGGGGGACAAAACATTTTAGATACATAAATGAGAAAAGACAAGGAATAGTTAGATTAAAAACAAAAGGAAAGTATGTAGAAGAGGATAAAAGTCTAGCTGACTGCCTCAATATTTCTGTTCTGTATCTACAGATTAAAATGAATGAAAAGGACCTCAGTTGAGAAAAAGGATAAATGAGTCATTTATTACACGTGAGTTAACAGAGGAAGAGGTTCTATTTCAACTGTCAAAAGTAAAGACAAATAAGTCAATGGGACCTGATGGAATACACCCAAAGCTATTAAAAGAGCTTAGTGGTGTACTAGCAAAACCATTAACAGATTTATTTAACCAATCATTGTTAACAGGAGTAGTCCCAGAAGATTGGAAGTTAGCGAATGTTGTGCCCATTTACAAGAAAGGTAATAGGGAGGAGTCGGGCAACTATAGGCCAGTAAGCCTTACTTCAGTGGTGGGGAAAGTGATGGAAACCATGTTAAAGGATTGTTGAACATCTAAAAACACATGGATTTCAAGATCAGAGACAACATGGGTTTACTTCAGGGAGATCATGCCAAACTAATCTTATTTTTTTTTGATTGGGTAACTACAATTATAGATCAGGGTGGTGCAGCAGACATTTCTTACCTAGATTTCAGTAAGGCTTTTGACACTGTTGCACATAGAAGGCTTATCAATAAACTGCAATCTTTAGGTTTGGATTCCAATATTGTTGAATGGGTAAGGCTGAGTGACAGGCAACAGAGGGTTGTAGTTAATGGAATATATTCGAAGCTTGGACTTGTCACCAGTGGGGTACCTCAGGGATCTGTACTTGGACCCATTCTCTTTAATATTTTTATTAGTGATATTGTAGAAGGTCTTGATGGTAAGGTATGTCTTTTTGCTGATGATACTAAGATATGTAACAGGGTTGATGTTCCAGGAGGGATAAGCCAAATGGCAAATGATTTAGGTAAACTAGAAAAATAGTCAGAATTGTGGCAACTGACATTTAATGTGGATAAGTGCAAGATAATGCATCATGGACGTAAAAACCCAAGGGCAGAGTACAGAATATTTGAAAGAGTCCTAACCTCAACGTATGAGGAAAGGGATTTAGGGGTGATTATTTCTAATGACTTAAAGGTAGGCAGACAATGTAATAGAGCAGCAGGAAATGCTAGCAGAATGCTTGGTTGTATAGGGAGAGGTATTAGCAGTAGAAAGAGGGAAGTGCTCATGCCATTGTACAGAACACTGGTGAGACCTCACTTGGAGTATTGTACACAGTACTGGAGACCGTATCTTCAGAAGGATATTGATACCTTAGAGAGGGTTCAGAGAAGGGCTACTAAACTGGTTCATGGATTGCGGGATAAAACTTACCAGGAAAGGTTAAAGGATCTTAACATGTATAGCTTGGAGGAAAGACGAGACAGGGGGGATATGATAGAAACATTTAAATATATAAAGGGAATCAACACAGTAAAGGAGGAGACTATATTTAAAAGAAGAAAAACTACCACAACAAGAGGACATAGTCTTAAATTAGAGGGACAAAGGTTTAAAAATAATATCAGGAAGTATTACTTTACTGAGAGGGTAGTGGATGCATGGAATAGCCTTCCAGCTGAAGTGGTAGAGGTTAACACAGTAAAGGAGTTTAAGCATGCGTGGGATAGGCATAAGGCTATCCTAACTATAAGAGAAGGCTATCGACTAATTAAAAGTATTTAGAAAATTGGGCAGACTAGATGGGCCGAATGGTTCTTATCTGCCGTCACATACTAGGTTTCTTTAAAACAAACAAGTTACGTAGCACTGTACAATGGGTGGACTATACAAGTATTTGTATAACCAGACGAGTTGGACACAGGAACAGAGTGATTGAGAGCCCTGTACAATGAGCTTACATACTAGAGGGAGTGGGGTATAGTAACAAAAGACAAGGGTGGGGTAGAAAAGTAGGTTGCTAGGATAGTGTTTATTGAGGGCCATTTTGCGGGGAGGAAAAGCTGTTCACAAAGTTTTTTTTGAAGGAGTGGAGCTTGGGTGAAAGTCTAAAAAAAGGGAAAGGGTGTTCCATAGGAACGGTGCAGCCCTAAAGTCTTAAGGTGACCAGAGGTAGAAATACGAACAGAGGTTAGACATAGGTCTCCGGCAGAGCGTAGGGGCCTAGACGGGACATATATTTGTAATAGTGAGGATAAGTAGGTGGGAGCAGCATTGTGTACAGATTTGTAAGCAAGTATCAGGATCTTACGTTGAGACCTATATCTTACTGGAAGCCAATGTAGGGACTGACAAAGTGAGGGAGGCATGGGAGGACAGGACCACATTTATTATACACCAACGGGGCAAGTTGGGAATGAGCAAAGACACTGAGAAGCGGGTTACAGTAGTCAAGGCAAGAGGACAGTGGTATGGATCAGCACCTTAGCGGCAACCGGCATTAAATCCTGCAATATTTTTTAGATGAAGCGGCAGGATTTGGCAATTGGACATAATGGGTGAATTAGAGGTTGGAGTCAAAGACAACACCTACGCAGCGAGACTCCGGTTTTTCAATGCATGAGTAATTAGACAAAAAAATTTAAAGTGTATTTAATCAAATCTTTTAGGATTGATTTTTTAAGAGGTATATGGTAGCAACAGCTTCTGAATAAAAAAAATAAACGCAATATACACTCACCTATATTGTTTAAGATCTCAAGCAACTTCTCTCTTTTTTGGAACTGTGTAACTTCCATGATCGATTGTTCAACATCGCTGCAGGCACCACCAACTTGGCCAACCACAACAAATAAATAATTTGGTTTCAAGTGAGCTGAAGCCAGGCTTTAAAATAAAAAAAGTACATTTTAAACATGGAAAACAGTCAAGCATTTATAGTCTATGATAATAGGACATAACCAAATACATTTCTTACTTCTGTATTTCTTTTGGGAATGTGGCACTAAACATCAAGGTCTGTCGCTCCTCTTTGCTTGGCATATTTGGACTGGTTACCAGCTTTGTAATCTCTGGGCCAAATCCCATGTCAAGCATTCGATCTGCTTCATCCAAAACTAGGAATTTCACTTTACTTAAGCCAATCTAAAATAAATAAATAATAAAAAAAATGATGAGGTAATACACAGTTGAGATTGACTGCACCCTCTCCGCCACCGCATACTTCAGACCCATGTCCAGAACCCAGCCAACAGACATGCAAGGAGGAAGCCCTCCAGCGGGCTTGCAAAGACTGTAGTTCATAAGAACTGCAACTTTGAAAAACTTCTAAAAAAAAATAAAACAAAATACATGCATGTCGTGTCATTGTAATCTTTGATACATGAATGCTTCTTACATAGGCACAAATTTGTACATAGCCTGCTTTATCTTCTGCCTCGTATACCGAACTAAGCCAGAATCATAATCAGCAAAAAAGCAGCATATTCCATCAGCTTCAATACTACAGGATTTATTTCTGGACACACAAATGCTATTACAAATTGCTTCATTTACCCAGAGACAATATTCATAGTTTAGCTGGCCCTTTTCATTGCTTCCATTACAAGTTATCGCATTGGTACACTGTCCTCTATGCAGACCTTTTCCCTGATTCAGTGGGCATAAGTGGCAAGTTTGTGTGGTGATCTGCATTAGATGGTAGCCTTTGTTAAGCAAGGAAGAACTACCAGGGCCAGCTTTAGAGGTGTGCGGCCGCACAGGGAGCCATGTGGCCAACAGCTCGCACTCCTGTTGTGTAGGGTGGCCGCGCTCCACCCCCACCTCTTAACTCTGCCCTTATTTCTATACCCCACTCAGGTCTATCAGTGAGGGCAAAGGGGGCAGAGCTACACTGCAAGTGGGGCGAAGCTACAGGCAGACAAACCGTCTGCCTGGTAAGTTAGAGGAATCTGTTCCTGCTCCCCCACCTACCACCACTGTGCCCCTAGCTATCACTACTCCCCCTACTGTGCCCCTGCTCCCCAACGAATACACAACTGCGCCCCCAGCTCCCCCACCTACCACTACACTACTGCTGCTCCTCCCCATGCCTACTGCTCCCCACCTACCAGTACAAGACCTCTGCTCTTCATATCAGCTCACATCACACATCCAATACACACAGTCAATACAACAATTCAAATATTACACACCTCCAACACATAACATACATATCACACACAGTCATCACTCCTATCACCCAGACACCACACACATCATAAGAAATTTATTACAGCAGAGCTCTCATACAATCAGAGCTCTGGCCAATCAGAACGTTGCCACGGATTACTAGAGGAAAGCTGACACTAAGTGCCTGAGCTAAGAAGACAGTTACTTATGGTCTTGCACCCGGTGTAGACACCGACCAGATTCCCAGCATACCTGATCACCAAAGTTTAACATGCCCACCTACCTGCAAGGTAATAACAGGGAAGGAGGAATCATTTTTGTTTTTAAATAATTAAATTTTATCAGATGCTGGAAAGGGTGTGGTGAGAAGGGAACATAAGTCCATACGTGGTGGGAATGTCAGCACATAACCCAAATATGGAAAGAAATGGCCGCTACCACCTCGAAAGCACTACAAATTGACGTCCCCTAGACCCATGGACTTGGCTGCTGTCAAAACCCCACGAAAGCCTGACCCGAGCACAAAATAAGCTAGTAGCAAAGGTGGCCTTTGGGGAAGTCCGGAGATCCCAGATGCCCAGGGAAAGATCAAGGAGACTATGGAAATGGACGAACTGTCCGCACTAATACACGAAAATACCAGATCCTTTCATAAGATCTGGGACCCCTGGTTGGCAGTGGAGGGAAATCTTGTATGGCAAAGGCGGAGGGAACAGAACAGACAGCCCCCCTCCCCATCCCACTGATCTCACACCCAACCACACACCCGTACTTACAGAGAGCACCCACATAAACACAACCAAAACAAAGAAAACATCTGATTCAAATTTAGAGAACTCAAGAGTTCAACCAAACACCACAAAATGACACAAGGACACATGGGCAACCCCCACCAGAGAAGGGGGCGACCCCCCCTTCCTCCCCGCACCGACTCCAAGTTCTATACCCCTAAACCCAGAGGTAACACCGTATCCCTCAAGGAACAAGATAACATACTGCAAAGTACAGAACGGGATCACATGACTTCAAAGAGCCCACGAACCAGGCCTGAACTATACACTAGCTTAACACAATAAAACCATAGACTAACACCCAAAACAACAACAACAACACTAACAGGGATGCTGGTGGAAACACTGAGGGAGACACCCCCTCACCCTCCACCCACCCCGTTTCTCCCGACCCAGAGCAGCAAAAGCAGTATGCATGAAAAAAAAGAATGAATGCAAATGGACAATTTCAAACCTGAAAGTGTAACCTCATTTATTGTACTATGTTACAACCCTCTTTTCTGTATCCCACACAAATGAAAGTTTAAATGAAAGTTACATGAACTCAAAAATAAAGAATTTACAAAAAAATTAATTTTATAAATCCTATATATAAACACTACATAGCTATTGGCATACACTGTACATGGATAAAGGGGTATGATTGGGGGAAGCGAGGGGGTCGCTGTGAAGATTTTTTTTGCACCTTAAAGGACCACTCTAGGCACCCAGACCACTTCAGCTTAATGAAGTGGTCTGGGTGCCAGGTCCCTCTAGGATTAACTTTTTTTTTATAAAACATAGCCGTTTCAGAGAAACTGCTATGTTTATAATGGTGTTAATCCAGCCTCTTAAGCCGTCTCACAGACAGCCGCTAGAGGCGTTTGCGTGTTTCTCACTGAAAATCACAGCGAGAAGACGCAAGCGTCCATAGGAAAGCATTATGAATGCTTTCATATGAGACTGGCTACCGCGCATGCGCATTCAGCCGAAGAGGTAAGAGTCAACCCTTTCCTCGCCATCCATCCCGGTGGGAGTGGGACCCTGATGGTGGCCCTGAGTACTACTAACATGTATTAAAATGTAGTCTTTAAAAACACTAGCCTGGGGGCCAGGGCTGACCTGAGTGTATGCAGCTCCTACACCGCGCGTCAAATTAACAGTCTAACAAAGGGAGAAAGCAGTGACCCGCTCAATCCTGACGCATAATTGACAAGGAAACCTGAGACCTACCCAAAGATACATATGTGGCCTACCGGGTCAGCTCCGCCACAACAGATCTTGCGGCCTACACACATGGCCGGCGCAGGAGAGGTGTCCGCACTCCTGCAGTCACAATCAGCAGCATACTTCAAACTGGGCTCCTGTTGACCCCTATGGACCAGCGGAGGCAATCCCGGCCCCCACCTACCTGAGGCGCACAGCAAAACCGGCCCCGGCAGGAATCTTTAGCATTAGCGACAGACAGCAGGCCCCGCAAGATGGACACGCTCCCACTGTCAGCCTACTCTACCACAAACTGGGGGCTATTGCCACAAGCCAGTGAAGCATACTTGTGAAACTAGACGAGATTACAACTTTTTTGGGAACATCTGAAGCAAAGTAGCACACAGGCACCTTCTAACCCTGAAAAGGGAGATGGGAGAGCCAACCGCGGCAGAACAGGTCTTCGTTGGGCACATCCTGCATTGCAACTGCCACTTGTGGCAAATGCCAACCTGGGCCGAGGGCCAAGTGGAGGAAACATCCACAGCACTTAACACCTTGCCGGAAAGCCGACCACAGCAGAACATCTGGGCCTCCCGTTGCGCCCTACAAAGGGAAGATCCAGCCTCAACGAGCATCCGAGTGGCACAGGTGCTGGCCTTCCAAATGGCCTGGGCTGGAGGGTGGCCTACTTACACCCTGCCACCCTCTGTGACCAAAGGTGCCTCTTTACCTAGTATGAGTATTGGTTGAACAGACTAACAGGTCCGCAGAACTTGCATGTTAACGCTCCTAAAGGAGAACTCCCTTAATGATCTGAGACGCCATCAGAACTGTATAAGTTAATGCCTCCAATACGCCTCTGCGTTTGTTTTTCTAGCCTGTCCAATCTTGATATGTGCCAGATCGGTGGCTTATTTAGCATGACTCTCACCCTGATTTATCACTCTTCTCTTATGCCTACTAACTAGTCTAGCCTGGACCACACAGTGTTATGCCCTCTTAAGCAGTATTAACTAAATGCAGAACCGCACAGGCTCTTCCTATATAGATGAGCGAAACCGGTCTATAACCAACAGCTAGACTGGTCTCCTGCTACCATTTACCTACCTGTTCTACGCAAATTGCTTTTAGTCTAGCCTATGACAAGGCCTTAGCCTACTTAACACTAGGACTTTACTTATTAAAGTGACACTATAGTCACCAGAACAACTATAGCTTATTGAATTTGTTCTGGTGAGTAGAATCAGAGAAAATGCAGTGTTTACATTAAAGCCTAGGGATAACTTCAATGGTAACTCCTCAGATAGCTGTTAGAGATCCTTCCTAGGTCATAGATACCTAAAATACTTCCAAACATTCAGTATCTCCTCCCTCTGCATGCAGACACTGAACTTTCCTCAGAGATTCACTGATTCAATTCATCTCTTAGGAGATTCTGATTGGCCAGGGCTGTGTTTGAATTGTGCTGCTCTCTCCCTGATCTGCCACCTGGTGAGTCTCAGCTAATCCTATGGGAAAGCATTGTGATTGGATCAGGCCACCACTTCTGATGTCAGCAGGCAGCTTGGTTTTCTAAGGCAAACCACATGCAGAGCTACAGGCTTGAATACAAGTAAGGTTTTTCTATATTTAGGGAGGCATGAGGGGGACAGGGTGGCTAAATGGTGGTTTTAACCCTATAGGGTCAGGAATACAAGTTTGTGTTCCTACCCCAATAGCGCTCCTTTACGCTGACTGCAATAGGCATATATATACCCAAAAGCTTATCACCAAGGTTTAGCACTGTATAGCATACTGTCGTTATATAATATTCAGCCTACCCGCTAGACAAGGATATTACTTATGTTTTCTTACTTTTCTTAAACAAAAAACTTGAATATAGTATTTCCGCTGCGACTGTATATCACCATGTATGACATTTAGCTACTTGATCGTGCGGTCGTGGCATTAAGAGCTTGACAAAAACAAAAAAACACTAGCCTGTAGCAGTGTCAGTGTGCCAAAAAACAAAAATTTCCCCCCAAGAAGCTGAAAAGTAAATTTAAAAAACAAAACCAAAAAACCACAGTATTGGGAGATTTTCTAGGCTGCTATCCGGTCTTAAATGCAGCACACGCGCCATTTGTCTCTTTAAATTATGGTTTAATATATCGCTCAAATTCTAGTTTTTGGGGGTTCAGAACTTTGACAATTGCCCCTGTTCAAGTTTCTGAAGAGCAGGAGTTTTATATTGCCTTTTCATCACCTACTAGTGGTTGTCTTTTAAAAACCACCATTTCAGAATATATTTTGTAAATCTATAATCTAATACTGCAAAACAGTTCTACAGCCTGTATCTTATCTGTGTTTACAACTAAAGACAAGACAAAGTAGGCACTACTACTTTGTGGGGCCTCATTTCAGTTCTCGCTCACACAGATATTTTTGAAACATTACTAAGTCTTGAAACGGTCTCAATCGTTGTACAAGTATGGAATCAACCCCTCTAGAACGTAAGCAAATTTGAGCAGTGTTTAACTTTTCTTGTTGCAAATACTTGTTAGTTCACCTATTGTACATTGCAGCAGAGTTTGTTGGCACTTTATAAATAATCATCCAACTCTAGGAAATGATAAAGTTGGCTGGGAGAGATGTTCTCAATCTCCACATACTAGCCATCTGCCGAGGATGTCACATTAAGGGGCCATATTGATCTGGTTCATGCGTGGATGACAGACTAAGAATCCAAAGCAGGTTTTAGAACACAAAAAGGGAAAGAAAAAAAAAGTGTAAGCATTGTGGATATATCCTGAAAGTATATTGACTAGAGCTGAGGAGCTCCACTAATACGAGTCCTACTTCCAGATCAGTTCTCAGAGTCAGTTTGCAACAAGCCACCTTAAAGGAGAAGTGGGTACTGTGAAACACTCTTGTAACATTGCCTCCTGCAACCAATATTTCACTTCTGGGTTATTCTGATCTGAGTTTTTAATCAAAATGTGATTTAGGATAGCTTTGTTACTTTGTTCTTGAATGTGTGCTTTATACATTTTGGAAAAAAAATAAAATGCATCTTTACCTTCTCTTTGCCAATTATATCCATTAGCCGTCCAGGTGTAGCACAGAGAATGTTGCAACCTTGAAATATTTGCCTTATTGAATGACCAGTTTGCGTTCCTCCATATATTACAACAGGCCTTACGCAGGTTCTGCCAAATAATTTCGAAGACATTCATGAATAACCAAGAAGACACCTGCATATTCTGAAACAAATTTTACTTACCAATGTTTTCCTAGAGTATTAGAGGCAGTGCACTGGGATATTTACTTTGTCTAGACCAGAAAAGGCAGAAACCTAGAAATTTTAAAGTTAAGCCCCTTATACTAATAAAGTATAAAAAAGGGCAAAAGCCCACACTACCCCAGAAAACATACAAGCCAATAACAGAAAAACTTATTAAATAAGGAGGGAATAAGTGCACTGCCTATCCTGCCAAAGAAATAACTGGGGTTATTTGTGCTTTTGTAGTTTTTATACCTTAAGGAGAAGTTTGAGGAGCTGAATTTTTATATATTTAGGTGACTACCTGCCTTTTCCAGTCTAGACAGAGTGAATCTCAGTTGTGCACGGTGTCTAACCCAGAGGGAAACTAAATCCTGTTTCATATTAAAGGCCAAAATAAGTCACAATGATAAGCTGACCGTTAAACCAATATAGTTGAATATTCTAAGATGGTTAACACTTTAAATTTACACTATAGCAAACAATCCAAGGATGGCAAATATCTGTTCAAGGGGACTATTCAATTCACCAGAGATTTGTATACTGGCAAAGAAAAAAAAAAAGAAAAGACACAGTTTAGCTGCTTTTGTTACTCACCCATAAGCAAATTTTCGGGCATCTAGATAGATCTGATTAATCAATTCCCTTGTTGGAGCAACAATGATTGCCTCAGGTTCCTGAAGTTCCTTAAATGAGCTAGATGTAATCCCCTCATTCATCATATAAGCCAAGATTGGCAAGAGAAATGCCGCCTTAAAAATAAAATACAAATTATGCAGCAAAGCAGAACATAAGGCCAACAAGTAAACCACTGAAAACAATGAGAAAAATTACATTTCCCGATTTGATAACCTTGTTCAATGACTTGACCTGTCAAATAGATAACAGGGGGGAGAACAGGAAAGGGGCATTTATAACAGCATTTCCAGTCAGATACTTGCTTAACCATGCGACTCATGCAGTTCCATGTAAATGACTGTTTTAAATAGTGTATCTCTAAAATTGGTTAGATGAAAGGAAAAAGAAAATAAACTTAAGAAACTTAGTTTTTCCAGAACCAGTTTGTGCACATGCCATTAAATCACGCCCAGCCATTATGATGGGAATACTGTATTTCTGAATTGGCGTTAGTTTCACATATCCAGCTCTGGAAATATTCTTGTTTAGAGTATCACAAAGATTAGCTTCTTCAAATGTCTACAAGAGGATGACAAAACAAATATAACAAGACAAGTATCCATACAAACATCACAAATTTTAAAGGAACACTACAGCACAAGGAATACAAATTTGTATCCCATGAATGTGTATCTATATACACACACCCCTCCTTTACAGCTATATTAAAAATACATTTAACAAAAAAATAAAATTTTTAAAAGTGTTTAAAGGAGGGTGTCTAATGCCAAAAAAAACCCATTTAGCTTAATTTAGGAGGCCCCTTTACAAATTTTTCAAATATTGCACAACCAAGGCAAGCATTACTTCTGTAGGCAAAGCACTTTAGCTCCCGGGACTACAGCTTATTGAAAAAGTCTGGATACTTTGTCCCCATTGCCATTAGTACTGCAATGCAAGTCACAGTTTTAAGTCTGGCAATGTAATTATTGCAGTTTCTCAAACTGCCTCTAGTGTCCATCACTACAAGTACTGTCTCCTAGGTAGGCGACTTTGTTGCTCTGCACGAGGACAACCAGTCAGTTAAACACGGATACACTAATGGAGATTTCCCCCAAGCATTTTTAAAAATAAATTGGCCGCGGGCAGCGAGGGAGCAGTGATCTCCGTGCTCAACTCCCTTGCGCTCACAGTAATAATGCTAAGTCGGAATAGGACGTCACTCCGGTATAACCAAAGCGCGTGAGGGAGCTGAGAAGGGAGATCATTGCTCCCTCACCGACCGTACGCCAGTCCAGGGACCCCATGCCAGTTGCCCAGCAACCCCACTAGACCCCAGGCACTCCTAAAGATAGGAGATGTGGATGAAAAATTAAAAAAAAAAAGTTTGTGTGTGTCAAAGTGTATGTGCTTGTCAGTGAGTGTAAAAGTGTTTCAGTGAGTGTGGGTCTGTCAAAGTATGTGTGTCAGTGTGTATGTCCCAGTGTGTATCCGAGTGTCATGATGTTGATACACTACGTGAAAGGGTTCCACGAGAAAAATATATTGGGAACCCCCTGTCTTACACTATAAAAGCTCTTTAAAACAAGAGACAGGAAGGCAACATGTAGGCACAGATTCTGGATGCAGTCAAGTATAGCAATGTAGACTTGTCACTTTTCTACATTTAATATTTATTTGAAAATTGTTATCATGTTAAGACATTTTACCCAAGATGGACAAAAAAGCCTAGTCTTTCATTTACATATTACTTTAAAGCATATTTAAATAAATAAAAAACTTTTTAAAAGCCTACTGACCATTATAGCTGGAGGAGCATCAACTCCAGATACATCGACAATTATATCATCATATTTATCAAAGTTTATTCCGGTTTGATAATGCTTGAATATAGCCTCTTCAGTTTCAGGTGGAGGGGGAGGAATATACGTAACCTTTGGACCTATATAAAAATTACATTATAATCAGCATTGCAGCAAAAATCTGAATGTTAAAAGACCAAACAAACTTCACAGTTGTGAACAGTTCAGGTTTTACTGACATACCTTGATCTCCATTCGCATTTCTCAACTCGTGCCCTAAAAAACCAAAGTCTTTTAGTTTGCGTATGGAAAAACAAAAAACAAATGTATGAACAGTTACAATAATTACCTTCACTCGATTCAATACCAACTTCTTCATTGCTTGCTCTATATCCACCTGTATAATGAAAACATTACAAGAAAACATTACGTAAAGTTAAAATCAACTTGACAAAAAGGCATAACATGCAAGTTTCACTTTATCTGGAGTTTTTGTAAAACATTAACAATGGTCAAATTCATATATACTCCATCAGTAGTCTTGTAAACTAAAACCACATATGGTGAGTAGGCAAAATTATTTTACTACCCACCTATCCAACTTTGTATGTATAGTTAAAAAAAAAAAAATTTTAAACCATGTAAATTAAACCCTCCCTATTTGAACTGCCCCAAACTAAGGAAAAGCATTTAAATATATAAATTTAAACACAGGCTTGTGACCTTGAGAAAAGTATTAAAGGCATAAGTATTTGCTCTTTCTTCAAGCTTTTCTTTAACTCTTTTGCACATTACAACAGGACACCAAAACACTGAGGTTAAGGGGACTTATGTGTTGCAGGATCAAACTTGTGTTCAGATTAATTTGCTAGACCTAGATCTCATTGAGACATTTTAGCAGTTCATGAATTCAAATTACCTCATCACCACACACCATTTATGAAATTTGACAGTCTGAGATCTATCACCTTGTGTGCTATAAATTGTTACAGAGACACATTTTCAGCATTTATTCAAAGTTTGTGGTATTTCCCCCATTTTTTACATATGCAATGCAATTTTGCTACATATTTTCTAAACATATGTGCTACTATAAAATTACCCCCCTCCCAATACCGTTGCTATGTATTGAAAATGTTAGAAAGCCAAATTAGTTCAATATCCTGCAAGTAAATTTAAAACTGAAATAGGCAGGTTTCTAATGTGTGGGTTGTTCTAGCACATCACAAATGCAACTTGTAGACACCCTGGTGTTTTACAGTTTGTTTATTTTGAGCCTCATTTTACAGACAAGAAAAAAAACAAAACAAACACTAAGTGTATTTTATACTTTATGCCAGTTCCACTTTTTTGGTGTGCATGGATGGTACACGACAGCAATTTTTAATGCTTTATCTTGCTTAACAGTTTCGACAGGAAAACAGTAGAGATTAGTCTGCACACTATGTTAAGGAGCACTCAAGCTTGCTGAATAGCTATATGGATGTGAAGTATCCCTTTAAAATCCCAGTTTATAGAAGTGCCAATTTCATTGTTTTGAGGGAAGATCGTGCCATTAGCTAAAAAGGGAAAGGGGGCGTGGCCACAGACAGCACGGAAGAAGTCGCATAGAAGGAGAACTCCGCCAAAACAGTGGGCCCTACAGCGTGGATCACAGCACTTCTGCCACCAAAAGTAGCCTATTTAACCTCCAGATACACCCTGACCACGATGGCAACGAAATCCTCCAAAAAATTAAAACAGAAAATGATCGACTCATTTCGGCTCGCAACAAGCGGAGCACCCATGCGACCAAGATGGTGCCGGAACGCCTGGTTCACCTACATCAGAAGCAGAAACAGGAGACATCCAGAGCTACCACAGCAATACAGCCTCCATCACTGCCACAAATGCTTCAGTGAGTACCATGCTGGACAAACTAAAAATCAGCCCTCTCCTCAGATATCCAACAAATAGCGGCAGACATTTGAGCTGACATACAAGCAATAGGTGATAGAACAGCCCACCTAGAGGAAAAAAACGGAGGGAATATTAGAAGCCCACAATGAGCTAGCAGAGGCCCACACCGCACTAGAAAACAAAGTTAAATACCTAGAAAGAAAAATTGCAGACAGTGAGGATAGAGATAGACGGAACATAATACGTGAATACCTGAAAATATAGGTCCACAAGATCTCACATTATGTACAGATGTTGTTCAAGTCTCTAATCCCAGCATTGACAGAGGCAGACCTCTGCCTGGACAGAACCCACAGACTACCCAAACCAAGGCATCTGCCCACAACTAACCCGAGAGGTCACAACTAGAATCCACTATTTCACGATCAAAGACCGAAAAAATGCAGACATCAAGACTCAATCCATCCCTCCCAGAAGAATACAGAGACATAAAATTGTTTATCGCTCTCAGCAGCAACAATGAACAAAAGACACTCATTTGCACCAATCACAACAGCCCTCAGAAACGCCATCATATACAAATGGGATTTCCTACCAAGCTGCTCGTCAAACGAAATGGAGTGGACAGAACAATCCTCACACCCGAAGATGGCATAAAGATTCTGAAAGACTAACATTCCGGTCCTTATCCCGCAGAACCAAAGGCCCAGATCTGATGTACCACCACACAAAATGGTGAGACTGGCAACAAGTTCCATAGATCAATACTACACAAAGCCGCAGAAACTACCAGCCCTGAAAACCATCCCGCTCCGCTCCAAGACACGTAACTCACTGAACTCGCATAAGTGTTGAATTATTTAACTGGGTTAAATGGTTTAATGCAAGAGAAAAAAAAAAATTCTAAGCGCACAGGGTAATTTTACCGCGCAAGTGGCCCTTTAACACAGGCCCACAATTGGCGAGATTCACACTACTCTACCTAGATCTTTAAAATCCTATAGTGCTTAGGTTAAGATTATAGCCAACTTTCTCTTAATACTGAATTACCTTGACATTAAGTCACCACTAACCCCCTTACCGAGCCATCAAGTACCCGTCTGCACACTGCTGCATCAGGCCCTAGTGGCTAACGGGCAAGTGTACATAGTTCTACCCCGTACCCAACAAGTTTACCTCCCGCAGTCTCGGTAACAAATATAGCACCCAAAGTACTTTTTTTTTTATCTGATAAGGCGTATGATTATATACACAAATAGCACCAATATAAAGACAACATGCCACTAAAACTCTTCTCTAAATATTAAAGGTTTGAATACACCCAATAAATGCAGACTCTCTCCAAGAGGCCAAAAGACAGGGGGCGCATGTGGCATTCTTTCAGGAGACCCATTTTAAGTGGGGCTCCACTCCCAGATTCAACTCCCCTTTGAAAGTCAACCTGTATTCATAGATAATGTGTTCTGTCTCTTGACAAGGTACAGCTTTGGGGAGGTAATTCTTTGAGGCGACAAATCTTCTCCTAGACTTACATATGAATTCATCTACGTCAATGGTAACCACCACAACTTTGAAACAACAAACATCTAAAATCTGCCAAACACTAACAACTTTATAGACCCATGGAGAATATCACACCCAGCAGAAATAGATTATACCTGCTGCACACAACAGCTATTCTAGAATTGATAGATTCCTAATTAAAGCCACATCACTAGAAAGACTAAAACAGATATCGGCATTATTTCTTGGTTAGATCATGCCCCCATCACTCTGACCGAACAATTCTCCACCACCGGTCGATCGACCTGGAGATTAAACGAATCACTGCTCAACGATCCGGTAGTGGGATCACACATTACAATGGATCTACAAAACTATTTCAAAGAAAATGTACAACCCGACACCACACCAGAATACATATGGCTAACCCATAAGGCTGTGATAAGGGGCAGCTTCATAAAACATGCAAGCCAGGCCAAAATAAAGCCAAGTCCAATACTTAGAATTAATGGAAGAGAACCTAACAAAAATAAAATCCCAAACACTTACTATAAAAACAGCCTTACTAAAAGCCCAAACTAAGACTTTGAACTGGCTAAAACCACATATATGCTACAAAGAACCAAAAAAATACTTTACTTATAGTAATAAGGACAGAGCAAAACTAGCTGCACAGCTCAAACAAAAAAAAGTCAATCGCCTCCAGGATTGCCTTCCTAAACAATAACAGTACAAAAAAAAAAAATCATAGACCCGAAACAAATTTTAAACGAATTCGCCAACTATCAAACTGTACAATCTAAGGGAAGACAAAGAGGTGACCGTACCCACTCCGGCTGAAATTGATACCTTCCTAGCAAACATTAACTTTCCATCCTTGACACAGGACGACATACACCACCTTAAACAACCAATATCCCCTGAAGAAATATCCAAAGCCATAGCAGAATTACCAACGAACAAGGCACCAGGACCAGACGGTCTCCCTAACAGATACTATAAAAAAATTCCCGACTCATACCACCACATCTTCTGAATTTATACCAAAACAGTAGCCAAAAATGAACCCTACCAACAGAGTTACTGCTAGCCCACATCTCCACTCAGCCCCCGAACATCTGCAAAAATTTCAGACCAATATCTCTCCTAAACAGCGACGCCAAACTGTACGCAAAAATATTAAGCAATCGACTCGCACCAATAATAGCGAAGTTGGTCCACAACGACCAATCAGGGTTTGATGGGGGAGACAAGGCTCAGACAACACCCGAAAAACTTTCAACATACTGACCACAATGGGAAGGGTTTCGGTCGGAGGCCTTCTCCTAGCACTAGATGCGGAGAATGCTTTCGACCGACTCAACTGGACATATATGCAACAAATGCTTTACAAATATGGATTCCCTGCAGAATCAAAGGAATCATGGCACTATACACAAAGCCACCAGCCAAGGTGGCTCACTGGTTTCATATCCAATACATTCACTACTGGAAACGGCACGCACCCAGGGATGCCCTCTTTTCCCCCTTCTCTACATTCTATCCCTTGAACCACTGGCCCAAAAAATACGCAAGGATCCCAACATAAATGGAATCAATCTCGGGACAGGAATATAAACTGGCGCTATTCGCGATGACATTTTAACATTAGAAAAACCCCAGCGGTCGATATCATCCCTTATGGAAACCCTGAAAACATTTGGCGACATCTCACATTATTGCCTAAACCAAGATAAAACCCAAGTCCTCCCTGTTGGGCTCCCCTTGGCCACCAAAGCAATACTGAAAGATAAATACCCTTTGACTGGAGAACAACATCACTGACTTATCTAGGCGTAGAAATTGCGCAGTCGATGGAAAAAACTGAAATTAAAATCACCTCACACTCCCAACAATGCAAGAAACATACAAAAATGGTCTCAAATGCACATCTCATGGCTAGGGAAAATCAATGCGTATATTATGTTATTGCCTAATATACTCTACATATTCAGAATGCTCCACATTCCGGCCCCACAAACACTCCTTAAATCCCTACAAAACATCTGCAGCTCATTCATATGGGGAAACAAAAAAAATTAAAAAAAATAAAGCGTATCATGCACCTTACTCTACAAACACTCAAAAAAAGCCGGAGTGTGTTACCTGATATAGGCCAGTATTATAAAGCTTCGGTACTAGCGTCAGGCATACTGTTACACACCGAAGAGGGTAATATTCAATGGGTGGACATGGAAAGAGCCCAGTTTGACAAAAAACGCAGCACTTGACTTCCCATGAACGCCGAGAAAACATAGGCCAAACAAACTGAACCTATTGCCAACCACGAAACTGACCGTCCAAACTTGGTCAACATTCCTATACACATTAGGAGCCAAGGAAACATTCCATCCCAACACACCACTAACTGCATTAAGAGCAGGAATTACACACATACAACTATTGCACTCTGAAGGGGTAATGTCCTTCACAGACTTACAGCAAAAATGGGACTTACCAGCAAACACTATTTTCACATACCTACAACTAAAAAGGGATCACCACACATGTAAATAGACAAAACCTTAATCCAAGCTCCCCCTCCAGCAAAGGCGATAATAGAAAGATGCTGGAAGAACCCTATGAAACAGAAAAGCATTTCACAATGCTATAAAGCCTGGGAAAATACCTTCAAGGAACACTATAGTCACCTAAATTACTTTAGCTAAATAAAGCAGTTCTAGTGTATAGATCATTCTTCTGCAATTTCACTGCTCAATTCACTGTCATTTAGGAGTTAAATCACTTTGTTTCTGTTTATGGAGCCCTAGCCACACCTCCCCTGGCTATGATTGTCAGCCTGCATAAAAAACTGGTTTCACTTTCAAACAGATGTAATTTACCTTAAATAATTTATCTCAATTTCTAAATTGAACTTTAATCACATACAGGAGGCTCTTGCAGTGTCTAGCAAGCTATTAACATAGCAGGGGATAAAATCTATATTAAACAGAACTTGCAATAACAGGGCTCTTTACATGAAGTGTTTATGGAAGGCTGTGCAAGTCACATGCAGGGAGGTGTGACTAGGGTTCATAAACAAAGGGATTTAACTCCTAAATGGCAGAGGATTGAGCAATGAGGCTGCAGGGGCATGTTCTATACACCAAAACAGCTTCATTAAGCTAACGTTGTTCAGGTGACTATAGTGTCCCTTTAACCACCACTAAACCGCACTGCAAAACAATGTGGGAAGCAGAATGTGCTATCCAACTTACAGACGAGGAATGGACCCACGCACTGAATGATTTATCTAAATGGACTAAATGCTACACTCATATAGAAGCACAAAGAAAATTGCTGTATAGATGGCACTTAACCCCATATAAACTCCACAAAATATATCCCAATACGTCCACCCTCTGCTGGAGATGCTCAACAGCAGAAGGCACACATACGGTGGTCATGCCCTAACATCCAACCCCTCTGGAAAGAGGTACAAGACAATACGCACCCTCAATGTTCCAAATACCAGGAATACCCTGGAAATATACCTACTTATGTGATTCCCTCCACAATTCGAATACTCAAACAACTGGAGTGCAATCACCATTTTGGCGGCCCGCAACTTAATATACTGCAATTGGAAATCCACGATCTGCCCAAACAGAGCCCAACTATGGGATAAAATACAACACTACATATACGAACTGGATGGAGAAGGTGGAGGAAATATACAGCATGAAGAGCCTCACGGCGGAATTGAGAGGTACAGGGGAGAAATGCACCCACCTTTGGGCTCCCGGGATCAAGTACATGGCTCGTGGGCGTGTAGGACGGCCGGAGCGGGGGGCCGAATAGCAGGGTGAGCACCGGCACGCGCGGGGTTGGGACGTGGGGGGCAGGCGGATTCACCCCTTCCCTTCCCCCGCCTTGGCCGACATCCCCCTTCCTCACTCCCCCCCCCACCCCCCCCCCTTTTCTTCTCCTCCACTTCTCTCCCATACCATGCATGACTGACCTTACACCAACACACCCCAGACAGATATTGGTCGCTGACTTGTTAACGCAGGGTCATTATCTCAAGCCAAATACTCGAGCGGGACGAAAGCGGGGGAAGAGATTAGTTCCCCCCAAAGGGGAAAAATGAAATGAAGGAAAAAAAAGAGGAACACACTATTCCCTTACCCTATCTTCCCCCATAGACACATACGGAACACGTTCTAAAGTTCAGTTAATCACAGAGGCTGGGTAGGGAAATACAGGCGGGAAACGGAGTGAGCGTTACCATATGTGCGATAACATGCTTGAAGTCTGTAAGCTTTATACTTGTTTATTCTCTGTATGTATGCATACTGTGCTTCAATAAAAATGAAGATTGCCAAAAAATACTACATATACGAACGTATGACCACCCCAGACTCAAAGACAACACAAATATTCCACACAACTTGGGCTCCCTGGGTAACCTTGCACGGCAACAACCAGTAAGAGCTGTATAACACCCACCATTCGTGACAAACGGAAAGGGTGCGTATCACAAGTAAATATATCGTACCAAAAGTATAGAGTGTTAAACGATAATTCAACTGAATATACTGCCTCATAATACCAAACGATGTATAAGAATTCTTGTATACAGCTACATGATACCTTACTATATGTTACACTTATTGTTACCCTTATACTCAAGGTTATTTGTATTAATGTGATATCTTTACCATCCATTGTTCATTTCTTTGAAAACGATGGGGAAAAAAAAAAAAAAAAGTGTGAAAAAAGGGAAATAAGGTTCCAAGACAACATAAGGAAACCCTACTGGGGTGGATTGTTTGTAACACTACTCTATAGCATTTCCAGTAAATTAGAAATTTCAACTAGAGGAGCTTCCACTTCCCAGACCGTAAAAATCTGACACCAAAATCCCCCATAGCAAAGCATTTCTTACTCAAAGTGGTATTATAGGGAAGCTTAAATGTACTAGCAGCACTCAACATGCATTCGGGCCCCAATGTTCCTTTAATGAACGTTGTTGAAGGTGGCCATGCACCTTCTACAATGGTGCTGGAAGCAGAGAGGGTAAGCAGCCTTGAGGATGAAAATGGTAGTTAAAAATGTTGGTTTTACATGGCAATGGGGTAGAGCCCCCCATTTCTGCCTAGGAACAGGGGATCCCTTAGAAACATCAAATTTCAGATTTATTCAGCAGTGTCTCAATAGCAACGTTAATACTTTGACATTTCCTTTGATCTGCAACACTACCAGACTGTGATATAATCTTACCTTTACCTTCAAATCCACTCCTTGCAAAGTCACCTATTGGAAGCAAAGATGGGCTTTGATAACGTTGCCAGAGAAACTTTACGGACCTTACAGTACATTTGTTTATTAGTGTCAATAACAGATTGCTCTGCATTTGAGTGCAAAACGTCACTTTCGACTTTAGGTGGGGCCTCCAGCATGATCACTCCCCGCCATATTTAATACAGCCCTAGAGACTACTTTAAATAGGAACAAATCACGTGAAACTAGTTCTGAAAGTTTTAAATTGTTTTGCATTATCCTTTTACCAAATGACCCACGTGATCCACAACTAGCCTCCCATCACTTTTGAATTTCAAACGAGAAATCTGTTGAGCAGGACCGTTCGAGAAGACAGCACTGCTCGAACAAGTCTCAAAACCCAAACAAATCCTATCAAGCACATGCCAATTTAACGCTTTACATATTTCCAATTTCAGCAATATAACCTATTCATCCTTTAAATCTTTATTCCAAAGGACCCACAAAAAATAAACTTGCAGAACAGTGGAAACCAATGATTTTTTAAAAAGATATTCTGCATCACTGAATAGAAAAGTTAGCATGATTTTTTTTTATAGTGACATGTCAAGACAAACAGGATAACCTTACCAGAAGGAAAACCTCTACCTCTTCGTCCACGTGTGCTAAAATCAGAGTTCTCATTGTTAAAGCCTGCAAGAAAGTAAACAAATGTTTGCACATCAAATAATCAATGTATCCCATACAAAGTTGAATCAAAAAGACAACAGCAACTGTCAGAAAAGTTCCTACAAGATGAAGCACAACAGAAATGTGCAGATTTGCATTAATCTTGCACATAGGTGAAGAATTCGCCAAGATGGCCAAACATTCAGATAACCAAAACTTCACAAGAAAAAAAGGTTGTCAACCTTCAAGGAAAGCAGCATGTGTGAGCTATAGAATGTTCTGAACTGCTTAATGACCACATGACCGTCTATGCTATCATGTAGTGCAGGGCTTTAACATCTGCTGATGGCATAGACCATCATGCATTAAAAAGTACCAGAGTTAAATGGTTACTCCAACCACCATGACTGCTTTTTCAAGTGATCATGGTGGTAGGAGTTTGGATGTGCAGTGCTTCAGCTTGAGACACTGCACATCTGGAGTTATTTTTAATTCTCTCCTGGACTAGTTGCACCCCAGCACACATGATTTAGACAAGCCAAGAACTCTGGGGTTATACATTTTAAGCGCACCTGTCATGACCGGTTCAAACCTAAACCCTTCCCCAAATGGAATACATCACATATGCACAATTTATACAGTAAGATATTGAGCCAAATCAGCAAGCTGGGTAGGAAGCATGGACCTCTGTCAGGCTGGCTCCAGGAGACACTCTGATTTCCCTAGTTAGCCTCATTGAACTTTAAGTTTGCAACATGCCTGCCACAGGTTGTCAACTCTCTTTAACAGAAAATAGTTAAAGTCATTAAGTCTACTTACCACCTCTACGTCTCTGTCCCTCTTCACGTCTACCAAATGCTAAAATAGAAGCAATTTAAGTTACAAAATGTATAATGCTAAAGTACTTCATAAATCTGTACAGCCATACATCACAATACTTTAAAGAAGGTCAAAGTGGAGGTTTGCATGTTAATTATATAGCACCAACGTTCTATAAACCTTTAAAAACTACAGAGGGGATTTAAAATATGTATGACCTAGAAGGTCTTGTTAAAAAACAAAGTTGATACATCCCTACTCAAACAAGCTTACAATCTAGAGAGGTATCAGAAGTTTGTTTGATACATCCCTGAATAAGATTGTGAGGGTGTATCTCGCTCATATAAACACCTACGCAAACATGAGAGAGATAAAAATAAAAGAATGGTACATTAATTTCTACATACCTCCTCTAGGAGCCCAATTACTATTCTGAATATCTTCATCATTGCCTTGAAAGAAATACAAACCGGTCAGAGAATTTCAGAAATTATCACAAGCCCTAGCGTAAAATATAAGCTGTAATTCCCGTAAAGAAAAAATTGACACTCACCCCCCTGTCTTGGGATCCAACTTGTTGTTTGAACATCTTTCCCATTAGCATCTTGGGAGTGGGGAAAGAAAAATATAAGGTAAATTTGCCATTTTGAACAGGACCTCCTTATCTACTATCACAATTTAGTATACCTCTAGGCAGAATATTTAGTTATTGAATATCAGATAGTGACTCTTGTTGATCTAGATCAGTGATGGCGAACCTTTTTAAACCCAAGTGCCCAAACCACAATACATGCCAGCTTTTTTTCCCTCAAAGTGCCAACATGGCAATTAAACCTGAATACTGAGGTTTAAGTTTTTGAAAAAAAAACTACTCGTACAGTTGTCCGAACTAATTAACTTTTGTTTTAAAAGAAGAACACCGTTCAATGATAAAAATTTTAAGTTATGATATAGATAAAATGAAGTTTATATTTATTAGAGTCTCCAACAAATGAAATGTACACACAGACCGCCGAGTACACACATACTGCATTGAGGGGTGTAGGGGTGCTGTGCGGGGTAAAGATACATTAAAAAAGTTATATTAATTCTGTATCCCCCCCCTCCCTTCCTCTTACCTTGGGTGAAGGAGGGGGACAGCCATCCGTGGTGGCAAGTATTGTAGGAAGCGGTTCTATCCTCCCGTGCGATGCTGTGTGGAGCGTTGCCATGGTAATGCGCGGCAACGCTCCACACAGCTTGCTCACAGGAGGATAGGAGAGCTGTTTTCTAGAGCCCTCCCCCTGTAAGTAGAGTAGGCGCCTGCCGTTTTGGGCAGGCAGGTTCCTACTCTGCAAACAGCCAGTGGCCCCCTCTCCCGGCAACCTATGGCCGCGTGCCAACAGAGGGCCTGGCGTGCCACCAGTGGCACGCCGGACCATAGGTTCGCCATCACTGATCTAGATTGTAGTAACAGATTTAGTGTGAGTCTGTTTCCTTTATTGACATTTTCTTCACATGGATATTTGTAACAAGTTGTTTTACACTTTGTCATCTTAAGAGTTATCTGTTCACACAGTACTCTTGCCTATTAGGAATATCCACATATTAAGCTGATCCTTGTATATAGTACACACTTTTTATAGCCTTGCTTATCATTTGTTGATCAACTCATTTGTGAGTACCCACTGACCTTTTTTTAAACTATACTGTAGTTCCTCTAGGGTTAACCCCCTATACGAGTATTCCCTTGCTTCCAGTTCATTACTTTTTCTATGCCATTTTAAAAGCACTGTGACAGATCTCGCTTCAGCTCCAATCTGCCTTTTGAGAAGCCCTCATTGACAAAGTTTCTATCATTTGCATCTCAAAGCAGCATTGGGGCACAATACATGTTTGACATTTGCACCAATCCATCAACAAGACTTCTGCGTAGCACTTCAATTTTGAAAGTGAAAATGGAAGCTACTGGTTGTCTGCTTGAAACATAGAATTGTTGTAGAATTATTAGGCCTCTATAAATCTGTAAGGCCCCTTTAAATCCTCTTGCTATACCTCTAAGAGGCCCCATAGTTTTACAAGAAAGCTTTGTCTATAGAACATAGAATTTGCATGTCAGCAAGAAATAGCTTTGATAAAATGTGTATTTACTAAAAGCCTTGAAACCTAACCATGAGAAACTAACAGTGCCGGCTACACTCTAAATGGATAGCTGCCAAAAGGCCCCTCCCGTCGAGTGAGCTCCTCATGTTAGCAAAATGGCGCTAAAACCTGGAGGAGATAATCATGACGAGGATAGTGACCTAGGATGGTACACCCCATAGGGAGGGCATTTTTCTAACTACTTAGCACCTATGCCAATTAACAATGTCTATATCTTGATTTTCTTCAATGATGTAATAATGCCTTTAAAAGGGCCTGCGAGCCTGCTTTTTATTCAGAAGCCATTAAACTTCTCCGAATTTCTTTCATTAACCTGAACTCTGTGTCTCAGTGTGAATTTACTTCTGCGTGCACGCAACTTTATCTTCAATTTGGACAGGAACAGATAGTCATTCAAACTAATTGGTTTGCAGTAAATCAACTACAACAGAATGTGACGGCAGGTAAGAACCATTGGGCCCCTTCTAGTCTGCCCAATTTTCTAAATACTTTTAATTAGTCCCTGTCCTTATCTTATAGTTAGGATAGCCTTATGCCTATCCCACGCATGCTTAAACTCCTTTACTGTGTTAACCTCTACCACTTCAGCTGGAAGGCTATTCCATGCATCCACTACCCTCTCAGTAAAGTAATACTTCCTGATATTTTTAAAACCTTTGTCCCTCTAATTTAAGACTATGTCCTCTTGTTGTGGTAGTTTTTCTTCTTGACAGCCAGGAGGTCTTAGTATAGAGATTTAATACCCGACAGTTTCAAAATATAGAGCACTGATAATTACCTGTTAAGCCAGGTGGCATTAACAAAGCTAGACAAAGTGTTTCAATATACTTGAATTAAAAGCGAATGAGATGGTAGTAATTGGGACACTCAAGACCCCTGAAGCACTTTAGCTTGTTAAATAAAATAAAAATAAAAAGCTTTTTAGATATACCCAAAAATGGGAAGGAGAAACTATTAAATGCATGCTTTAATTGGGGATACATCTACTGAACAGTAAATGTTAACATTTGATTTTGGGTAGTGGGTTATCTAAGATGAATGGGTCTGGATGTCTGAGCAAATTATGCCTCAAAATATTAGGTGCTATTTATTCCAGCTATTAAACAAAGTCACTTTGGCAAATTGCTTAGTTAAATCAAATTTAACTAGGATGATTTGCTTTACTGTAAAGCATTCACTTTTATATAGTATCTTTAACAGATATTTGGATATTTTCGCAAATAGCCACTTTAGAAAATATGTTTTCAGATGAAATAAAATAATTCACCTTGTTGTGATTGTTCGCTGATTATGGGCGAATCCCAGCACTTTCAACTAACATGTTTCGTAGATTTAAGATCCACTTTTTCAGGGGAACTTAAGACAACTTGGGGGCTGCAGTCGCCCAAGCCCATTACCATCCCAGAGACCGGTTTTGTTCTTGATTTGGCTTTTAATCCACTGTGAAAGCGTTTTCATCCAATTATAGTGTTTAAACCTACATTAAGCACTATGGACTGCACGATGTTTAGTTCTACTGAGACCACTTACATGTAAAACAAAAACTTAAAAAAAGGTTTACAAAGTTGTCCAGCGTAACCTGAAGTTACGCCAAAGACACCTAGTGGATATTTACATAAAACATTGTCATTGTATAAGTACATTGTAACAGAATATTTGTACTTCTCTTTAAAATTGCATTTTAAGTATGATATATCAGCAAACCGGTATGGGCTCTGCCACCATTTACCATCTTGGCTGCTTAGCTGTTGCAGTGCCAATCAGAATTTCCCCATACAGAGGCACTGAATCAATGCATATCGATGGGGAATGTTCAACGCATTCCCCACGCAGAGCATGTAGACGCTGAATGTCAGTGTGCAGCACTGACTCAGGAAGCACCTCCTGCGGCCGAGTGACTGCCAATAGAGGTGTTACAAGGCAGCAATGTAAATATTGCCTTTTCTGAAATAGTTCAAATATAACCAATTCCAGCTTATACGGTGACCTCACAAAACAATGCAGCTTAAGACTGAAATAAAGTGGGGGCAGAGCTTGCTACCACCCTGAACCAGACGCAATTCTAGTAGCTCCCAAACTTAGAATCCTGGTGATATCAGTGAAACGGACACCCATCCAGCCTGAACCAGCACAGCAAGCCGCATCGATAGATGCCCATGATCTGGGACCTTGAGGAATTCCTGCTCAGACAAACTAAGCGAGAGGAGCTCCCCTCCACCGCCCTCACCAATGCCACTCCAGCTCATAGGCTGCAGATCCCAAAAACCTACAGCAGAGAGCAGAGACATCGGCGTGCTGCTGCAACGGCCCGTGCCCACGGGAGATGAGCAGGAAAGACCGCGCTCCCAGCCCAGAGCAGGAACGATCGGCGACCTCTCCAATCACAAGGGCAGCCCCAGCCACCAAGGGAGATTTAAAATTCATGCTAGCCAACATCCACATGCTCTTAGCAGCCTACTCTGTCCTTCTCTAGAGGGAAGTACAAGCTGTTACTGACCGTGTGAAAGCCATGGTGGAGGTTAAAACTCATCTAATATCCCTTGATGACGAGGTACATCACATCCAGCTTAACCATAAACTCATGGCACTCAAAATGGCTACCGTAGAGGACCAGCAAAAGCACATTAAAATCAGAGGAATCCCCACACTATGTAAGGCACTTCTTAGCCACCATACTCCCACACGCAGCTTAAAAAAAATTAAAAAATAATGGCAGTAGATCAAATATACAGTCCCCTGCAGAACGAGACGCAATTCTAAGCTCACAGTAATCCAAGTCTAACAGTGATGGACTACCTCACCATAAATGGTCCATACCTCCAACTAGTTAGATGTTATTTTCTGCTGGTTTAACAGTTTTAATTTCTTATTTTATATGTTGTGTTTCCCATGATTACTCACTTATGCACTCAGGTTTCAGCCCCTGGGGAACAAGCCAGACACGAATCGGCACCCATATGGGCACTAGGCCCTAAAACCTCCCTTTTTTCATAGAACAAATAGCACGGAGGCCACACCGTCTGGCGCCTACCTCACATACCCCACCCCCTGCAGCCCCCTTGGTTAGGGGTCATCACCCTCAATTCAGAGGCAGAGCAGGGAAGTTCCAAAAAACAGAATAGCTCAAAAATCCATCATACCTACCCTCACGAGAGCAGACCACCAGCAGCCGTCCTGCAGAGACCAATGTAGTACGTGATACCCACTCTGCCTGCCCAACATTTGCTCCACCACAAAGCTTGCAGTAGATACTAAAGTTGATCACACAGGCTACATAGCCAAACTGTAGATTAAGCCAGAGCCATTTGGCTCAGATGAGTTTAACCGACTATGTAGATATGACTAACCAAACTGTTTACTGTTCCTGTTTTGTGCATATTGGAAAAGGTGCAATGACTGTCACACTAACCTTCATCTTGTATACCGCATCAATGTTTGACCTTTCCAATATGGCAACATGTGCGAAGATATATTGTGCAACAAAAAACAAACCCAATATAAAGTGTATTATAAACTTGAACTTTACATATCTAATTTATAATTTAAAAGTTAAGCAGCTTGGTTTTAAAAAAGTCAAACTAGTTCTTACGGTTATTCCCTGGCTCCCAATTAGAGATCTGGCCTTCATTTCCATTGGTCCCTGACCAAAAAAAAAAAATACAGAATTAGAAAGGTTTTAAAATAGCTTCTCTCCCCCCCCCCCTCCAAGGCAATTGTCCAAGTTATGAATCAAATCCTAAAATTTGAGCTCTAAGTTTAACCATTATTTACCTCTTTTCAGATTAAGCATCCATGCCTGTGCTACATTTTTAGGACAAATGGCCTTTAAAATATCTATATCTATATCTCAAATGTTGGCGGATGGGGGGAAAGAAATGTCTGGGCCTATGTCACATTTGAGACTGTAAAAAGGGCAGAGGAGAAAAAAATGTAATGACACTTTCAGGATACAAAAAAAAGTTTACTGCTTGCTGTGTTGCCTCTCTGCTCAAAAAAAAGTTTCCCCAACACCTACCACAGGAAAAGAATTTCAAATAAACAGATTTTAGGGAAACATGCTGGATCAGAGAATATCTAATCTGTTGGAGTAGTCAAATATTCTGTTATGAAAAGCTTGAAATAATTTGCTCACCCTCAAGGGTTGTTGATGCCAGGAGCCATAAATGGGGTTTTCAAGAGCAATTAGAATGGATAGCCAGTGTGCATCAGACAGATTCTGCACCCCTCTGTAGATTGAGGTCTCACTTGGACTCTAAGGCTTTGTCACGTCAGTAAGAATAATCAGTGACAGATTTGATATTGCTGATAGAAACTAGTGGTACACGCATCATGGCATGTTGCTCTTTTGTGCAAAAGACTACATTTGTTTCTCCTGCCTGGTTAACACCAACATCTCAATCCACACTACAATTGCACTTTCACTAAACCCAAAAAAGAAACCTTATGCAGTATAAAGCTGCTATTAAGACTACAAGAAAGGGCAATTGAAAATTTAGCAGAAATATACCCCTGGTGAGTATGTCACAGACCCTCCAAGCTTACATTCCCGAGTAACTTGAAACCTGGCAAACAGTATAGGAATTAAACTTTTTAAAACCACAGTTCATGACTAAAGCCATTAATCAGCATCAGCTGTCACTTTTTAATCTGATCAGTTACTGACTTTCACCAAGATCATGTGGCGAAGACTGTGCCGACTGGTTACTGGGACTTGGCTGTCCGGTATGTCCCACAATGTATTTAGACCGTTCTGTTTTAACAGGGTGACAGACATTGAGGCGTTACATGTCACATGCCCACATTGTGGAGGATGACATAGCATGTACTAACATCAGCAACGGGTTAAAAAGTCTAAGAAGGACTATTCACATTTACATAATTCAATTTGTTCTTTTCTCTTCAAATAGATAAATCAGTAGAATAAACGGAATACTGAATTTTCTACTGCCAAGATATCTACTCCCACTTAAGGGCACTATTCGGTACCAGTCATTTTACACAAAAATATACTACTTGTGAGAACATATCTTAACATGTAAGTCAACTTTTTTGGTTCAACTGTTATTTACTATAAAACATGCTGTGTAGAGACATTGCCATTTCAAATAGGATATATTTCTAACGTGCCACCCCACCACAGATGAAATATTTTATACCTCGTCTATCTGAAAATCCTGAGCGCTGCCGTCCGTCATCCCTGCTTCCAAAACCTAGAATTTAAGAAGATGGTTCCTTGGCTTTTTAGTAAAGTAATCAGTTTGATGTTAAGTAAATCTCCCCTCTTATATTGTAAAGCGCTACGGAATCTGTTTGCGCTATATAAATGGCAATAGTAATAAAATGTATTATTAAATACCCTGTATTTTGCACAAGTATACAAATCAGTCATTCAAAAAAAAAAAATATATATATATTCTTATGTAATACCTATAAGGCAAACTGAATACAAAAATGTATTATTCATTTTCCGAATAAGCCTTCACCACTATGCTTTTGGAAATGGTTGCTTACTACTGCCCTTACAAGCTATATTGATAGCATTTCACTGTGCACGATGCAGTACAAATGTCTAATTTCTTACCTCCTCTTCGAGGCCCACTACGCATCTGTCCATCTTCATTTGCATTTAAACCTAAATATAATAAAATCATTGTTACATCATTATTTTAACATCTCAATCATGTTTTTTTGCGATTTTTTGTTTTTAATTAACCAGAAGATCAAGTACACCCTCTTTTCTCAATTAGTGGTACACACCCACTAATGGCACGGGAAACCAAGAGCTGGCCACCTTTTCCCCCAGAGGCTGCCATCTGTGTGGTTAGGCAGAGTAAGCACTGGCCTACCCTGCAGTGATGCTAGGAAATGACCTCACTTCGGCCTCAGCATCACTGACAAGGGAGCAGATAAACCAAGCCCCACATTAGACCCCAGGTAAATGATCCGCTTAAGCACTCATCGGTAAGGAGGCTGGATGAACTTGTTTGTGAGTGAAAATGTCAAAGCAGTGTGCCATTTGTAATCAATCACATGTATGTTTTAATTTTGTGACATCCTTTAGATTAAATTGTTCATACACTCCTCCTTACATTCACATTAATTCATTTTAAAAAAAATTTTCTACCTTTAAGCTTTCTCTTCAATATATGATTAACATAAAACAAGTTTAATTTGGAATTTAAATCTACAGAAATTAACTTAAGGTAAAGTTACTATAAAAAAAAAAAAAAAAATTCTCTGTTAAAGGGACACTGTAGGCACCCAGACCACTTCAGCTCATTGAAGTGGTCTGGGTGCCTACAAACTCCCATCATCCTTAACATGTAATTATTGCAGTTTTTGTAACATGCAATCATTACCTGCTAGAGTTAACTCCTCCACTAGTGGCTAGTCTACCAGACAGCCGCTAGAGCAGGCTTCCCCAAACTCTGGCCCCTCCAGATGTTGCTGAACTACAACTCCCATGATTCTATGAATGAAATAGATAAGCTGAGAATTGAATAATGCTATCCGATGGGGAAATACTAATGCAAACGTAGCAGTTGCCTCATGCGCATTTGGTCTCCCCCGCTGACGTCAGCCGCGGGCGGAGCTGAGCCAGTGCCATTCACCCTTCTGCACCACGGTGGTGGGCCTTGACAGAGGGAAAGCTATAGTACCAGGAAAACTAGTGTTTTCTTGTCACTAAAGTTTCCCTTTATAGGTTGAGAAGCACTAATTCACCAAATAAGGGTGGAAGTAAATTTTGTAATTGTGAGCTTTTAGTTCCATAATTGGAACCTAGCATGTCCGTTTAAAAGAAAAAATAAATTGAGAGGCGGAACAAATTAAACCAGCAGCAATGTTGCATCCTTGAACTATGCAATGGACTTCCCTTATAGGAAATAATTGTATAATGGTTTCCTAATCGGTTTTGAGTGATGCAGGATGTCATGCATAGTGCGAGGACGTCCAGTTTCAGTTAAGTGACCAAGTGTTGCATAACAACCCAGAAGTCCCTCTGGTGGCTGCCTGGCAGACAGTAACTAGTGGTGTAGTTAACCCATAATGCGATCCTGCGCATGCACCCCCAAGCATGAAGCACCTAGAGCAGAGACAGTGTAGCCACTCCGAGCCAACGACAGCCCTTTACCAGTCTGTAAAGCGCCCGATCCCGCCATCCAACACCATGTCCTGGCAAGAATACATCAGCAACCTCACGAGCGACAACTGCCAGGACGCCGCCAGCATGGCTACAAGGAGACTCCCGGTGTGTGGGCGTCTCACCCAGGGGACAGCCTGTGCAAGATCACGCCAACAGATCAAGAACATAACTTCAGGTGACCGATCTGGTCTGTTAGTGGTGTGACGCTTGGTGGGATAAAGTGTTCTGTCATCTGGGACCAGTTTAGCAAGCCAGATATTTGTGTCACCCAGATGGACCTTCATATGCTGTAGTTATTGCCAAAGCCTTACAATTGGTTATATTGGTCGGGATAGAAGGTGTCCACTGTGGGGCCCTGTATACTACTGCACACAAGATGGCCAAGTTCCTAAAATCATTAATGGGACTCTACAGTGCCAGGAAAACAAAGTCGGCTCTGGTTCAGGGTCTGCCCATGCTCCTCCCCCGCCGACATCTGGCAGGGCAGACCAATTGCGCATGTGCAGCCGCCGGTGGGGGAGACCTAATGCACGTGCGCGGCATTGCATTAGACCTCCCCATAGGAAAGCATTGAAAAGTGCTTTCCTGTGGGGAATTTAGCGACGCTGGAGGTCCTCACAGAATGTGTGGATGTCCAGCGACACTATAGTACACGGAATGTGTGCTATAATACCAGAAGTGTCCTCTAGTGGCTGTCTAGTACACAGCCACTAGAGGAGGAGTTAACCCCCGAAGGTAAATATTGCAGTTTATGAAAATTGCAATAATTACACTTGAAGGTTTAAAAGGTAGTGTGAGTTGGCACCCAGACAACTCCAATGGGCAGAAATGGCCTGGGTGCCTGGAGTGTCCCTTTAAGTTTCCTGACTCCCCTCCTCCCCCTCCATTACTACTGATTCAGTCGCCTGTTCCAGCTGCCAACATTGGACCAAGCCACTGATTTTCCTCCCATCTTTAATTCCTTTTAAGAAAATAAAAAAATACCACTTTTTATGTTTTTGCTGCCCTGGTCATCGAAATTAACAGAATTTCAGGGAAAAACAAATTTATATCTGATTTAAGAATAAAAAAGTATGCTGTATTAAGATAAAAATAAAAAATACAAACACGTAACGGTAATTATTGCAGTTTTTTTTTTTTTTTTTAAATAAACTGCAATAGTTACCTTTCCAGGGTTAAGAGAAAGGGGACTGTGCACTCAGGCCACTTCAATGGGCTGAAATGGTCTGTGTGCCTATAGTGTCCCTTTAGCATCTTTACACTCTTCCAATGAAAACAAAGCCCAACACAAAATTACGTACCGCGACCGAACTGGTTGGATCCACCACCTCGTCCAGATCTATAGCCTGTTATGTGGACGAAAATGTTATATAATTACATTTACATTCTAAAGAAAAAATTTCAACTGCTTACTGTAGAGGATGTAATGCAATTAATCTTGATGCAGTCTCCATTTAAGTCATTTCACAAAAACAGGTCTCAGCATCCAATGGAGCCTGCTTGGCAAAACACGGGTCAGGCCACTGCTTATAGTACTCTAACAACTTACAAAGCTTTATGGGTGTGCAAAAGGTTATACCTCTTGAAACAATATCCAAGTAATACCTATATTCAGATACCCAACAGATATTTAGACTGTTTGCTGAATGGGAGCCCCGAGCAGTTTTCATGGAGCACATTAAGATTGAGCTAGTTAGTTTGCCTTAGTGGGCACCTAATCTTCGAGGTACAGTATAGATTTAGTGTTACTTACGCTTCATGATTAAAAAGCTATTATAGTAGCATTGCTCTACCTCTAATTCTCAACCAGATCACAGTTTATTGGGTACATTAGAGACTTTAGTAGGAAGCATAATATCTTCCCTTTGGGTGTAGTCCCACTAGTTACAAACCTCAGCTGATAAATTGATACAATTACTTCACTTAATCTGATTCTCAGATTACATTTGCAGATACTTACTTTTAAGGTGTTTAACTATAGGCGTTGAAAAGATACCCAATAGTATGAATTGGAGTGTATTTTGTAAATATCCCTAGTTTCTCCTTTTTACAAATGGGTTAATCCAGCCTCTAGTGGCTCTCATTGACAACCGCTTCCCACTGATTTTCAGTGAGAAGACGCCAGCGTCCATAGGAAAGCATTGAGAATGCTTTCCTATGGACTGGCTGAATGTGCGCGTCTCTTGCATTAAACTACAGATAAAAAGCACTCCCCTATTTTTTGGGTCTAGATTTCCCCTAATCTCACAGCCTACCATTCTAATGATCATTTTCTTATGGATAAAGCAAAAGTGAACAGTCTTTGCAGCAGAGGGGCCAAGCTTTCTTTGAGTGCAGAGAAATCCACTTTTTATGAAAAAACTCAAACTGTTAGTCCACAGACTCCACCACAAGATTCACTGCATCACAACTGCTTAAAAAAAAAATATATATAAATTAATTTGTAACTGGCTAATGTGTGTCTGGGATTCAGCCATTGATTGCCAAAAAGTAGCAAATGCAACAATAAAAATGTGCTACTATCCAAAAGTGTTCCACCTTAAAAGAACAATATAGCATTAGCAATATAAGTCTGCATTCTAATTGTGTGTCATTCTACTCTAAGGCCTCAACCTTGCAGATTAGAATAGAGAAAGTTTTACTTACCTTTTTCACAAGTGCTGAAGACATTGTGCACGACGTCCCCATAAGAGCACTAAACCAATGCTTTCTTATGGGGCGTCCACATCATGGGACAGAATTTCACTGTCAATGCCAAAGAAACACCTCATCACTAGAGGTGGACTTAACCCTGCAATGTAAACATTGCAATTTCTCAAACTACAATGTTTTACATTGCAAGGTTAAGAGGACTGGTATACTACAACCAGACAACTTTGAGATTAACTAGTGTTCCTTTAAACAAAAGGAGACTTCAAAGTCTTCTAGCATTGGAGGTGCGTGGTGCATCAAATACTAATGGCATCAGTGAAACATCCACCTTTCTATCACTCCCACCATTCTGTATGTATGATTTAACATGCAGAAATTAAGTTTGCCTCACTATTTCATACAATTTAAATTTAGGCAAAAAAATAAAAATCTTAAAAAAATGATGCTGCTTTCATTTGAATGTTGCATTCCATGACTGAAAGCAAACATATTTCAAGCAGAAAACAGGTCCAGTTACTTCCTGGTTGTTCAGCTCAGTTGCACAGAGGACCTGTCTTGCAAAGACTTCTGATTGAGCTGCACAGGGAAGCCTATAATTGGCTAGCCGGGTCAGGGCTTTACCATATCGAGCGGGCACATCAGGCACAGATACCTGGAGTTGTCCGGCTGTCACCGGGCACTATAGTGAAGCGTCCTTATGTCTGCTGTGGCTGTGCTCCAACCTGCTTACATTGCAGCCAAACGGGGGACAAGCTGGAAGCAGACACCTTTCACGCAGAGTCGTAGTCTGCATTCATGTAGCTTGCTAACACAATAGCCTGTTTTTATGTATTCTTTAGTTTGTTTCATATTGTTTAGCTTTACATCGTTTTCACCCATCACAATAACTTTCAATCTATGAGGAATATTGGTCAAGCCTCAATGTGATGGGATGTGGTAGTGGTAACTAATCATCCGACCTCACTGAGATAACCACTCGTTTGAAAATACATGTTTTTCATGAAGATAGCAGGTCTTATTGTAAATTGTTTCCTATAATCTCCATCATGCCCTCTCTTCCTCTACTCCTGCTGAATGCTGAATTTAGACAGAACTTTCAATTCTGATGCTGAACAAAAAAAAAAGTTTTAAGTCTCTCAACATGTCCTGTCACATACAATTTTCCTTGTCGCATTAACCATTGTGGATATGTCCTTACAAACCTGTATTTATCTATGCACTACAAAAATTAAATTAAATATAATTAGACAAGTCTTGGCTGGAAACAACAGGAGGGGCTTGTAAAGGCTGCAGACTGAAGAACTGCATCTTTTGTAAGCAGTCTTTGGATACACACCTCCAAAAATTAAAATCAAGTTTTTTTGGTGTTGCATCTATTAAAGTTTACGTGGGTTGTATAAATCCAAAGTTTAAAAGCACATGCTTAATTAAAGCAACATTGTCATTTTTTCCCCCTCAATTTCAGTTTCTTTCCTTGAGGCCGCTTGTATTCCAATACATACCAAAGACTGAGGGAGTACAATCATTTACTTTTCTTCCTAGTGTTAAACCTTATTATTCAAGTGCCGCAATTTTCTTCTGACATGATATCCGCAGTTTGCTTAATTAACCCATAATACATTAGTCAAAAGAAACAAAGGCAAAGGTCTTTCCAGTTTCTAATTTAAAGGATCACTCCTTGCACCATAAATATGGTGCAAAGACATGAATGGTTTAACAGTCTGCAAAACCAAGCTTAAATGTTCTACTCCAAAACTCCCTATGCAGATATATGAGGCTTCAATCAGGATTCCTGGGACTGTGAGCTGCTTCTAGGCTGAGAGTTTGCTTTCAGCCTATCAGCAGCTTCCCACTGTGAAATGCAGGAGGAAATATGCATTCCCCCACCCCCCAAATCACTTTAGAATGTGGCACTACAGATAGGTTGCAATTGACAGGTGATGCTCTCAGACACCTAGACCTAGGCATCTTGATTAAATTAACAGGGCGATGTGATTGGATGCCGTTTGGCAGACTTAAATCCTTTAAACGAGAAGGCACTTGGAACCTCATGCCATAACTAAATTAAGATGAAATTTGTGCCCCCAAGTGTACCTCTACGTTTTGCAGTTTCCAAAAATAGTGTTCGCAAAAAAAGTGCCATTAATTTTTTTTCTGTCCCAAAGGCTTCTGCTTTTTTGTGAAAGGTTATTTTACATTGTTAAATCACACACATACCTCTTCGGTTGCCAAAACCTCTCTCAGATCCAAAACCTTGACTGGTGAACGCATTGCTTGCTAGGATAAATGAAATGAACATTCTATGAACAAGCATTCACATGACAAATCTAGCAGACATTTTCTGGGAGGTTGTCTCTTCCTTTCTGGTAGCCCCACTCATTTGCTTTTGACAGAATATTTTAACATTAGTTTTATTTTCCTGGCTATTATCCATGGCCTCATAATTCTCTCACTTGACTGATTAACTTTTTTGGGAGCCATGGAAAAATATGTCCTCACTGTGTGTCAGATAAAATCAATCAAATTAGGTTGGCATAAATGTGTTTAATTAAGATTACCTTATAAATTTTACCTCTTGCCGATCTACTAGTCCATGCCCCAGACAAAATTATTCCATTCCACCACTGCAGAGAGGGAGATCTCGACTGGCATAATGTAACAAATATGTTCATGGCATTCCCACCATCCCAACGCTGCAGATGTCAATCAGGAGATCTCACCCTAGCCATCTCCACTATACCCAATTACTCCTAACCATCTCTTTAAACTAGGAGAATTTGGTAAAACCTATAGAAATTACCACACATCACTTTACTTAGTCCTCTACCACACTTTAATCTGGCATCACATGACCCACTCCATGCTATAAAAGTTAATGACAAAAACACTTCCTGACCATTTGACATCTTATTTCTGGAGGGTGGCGAGCTCCATCTAAATGCGAAAATTTATGCCTCACAAATTTTGAGGAAGAAACAGCTCAGCTCTACTATGTACAACATTCTCCAACATACACAAAGAGGGAATCCTTCAGCCTATACAATGAAATGGCCTCAAGAGTTACAGACAGTTTAAAAAAATATTCTGTAAAATTAGACACTTTTAAACTACCTTGTGTATCTCGTGTTATCAATGAGTTCTTAATGATTAATGAGGTTTGTATCAAATATCTGATCTTGCGCAAGTTAACATCCCCTATGTCATGCTACAAAGTCCAGTAAAATCCTGGAAGCGCCACAAGAAGCAGTCTTAATTCTGAGGTTATATTGCAGGACTAAGTGTGACATGACACCGCTTACAGACCACTTCAATAAGAGTAAGTGGTCCGAGTGCCTATAGTGTCCCTTTAATGTATTGAACCTCTCAGCGGTTATACTTCATTTTCCAATGGTACTACGCACTCTTAAATCTTGCATAAACTATTGTCCATAACCATGAATAATTTGATTATCAGTCTCTGCATATATACTTTCAGATACCAGTAAATCTGATGTTCAATATAATCAACAAGTCAAAGACAGAAAAGAAACATGCAAATACAATCACAAATAAAATCTATTGCTTATACAAAAAAAAAAAACTTACCATTTGAACACCTGTCATCGTATACAGAATCGGATTGCTTAAGAAAAGTAAGACATCAGAATTAGAAACTGATGAAATGCAAAACAATCCCTTCTCCCCCCAAAATACAAAACCCAAACACTTGTGGGAGAGGGGGCGTGGAGAGCGTCCTCTTGGGACAAGAAAAGAAACTGGGGTAGGTTTTGCCAGATAACCCTTAATCTTGTTAGATGCTTGTCCACAGGAAAGGAGCAAAATACACATGTACTGCCACCACATGCCAGAAAAAAAAAAAAAAGGTCACTTTCTCTGACAATATCATTGTGGTAATATGTTTTACTGTTTTGAACACTATTTGTGTTGAGAAAAGTCTCCAGACTAAAACCATACCCCCTGCAAGGGTTTTAGAGTGTCTCAGAAAGTTACAGGGTTAAATACAGTGCAAGCAAATTAAACTCTGGACTTGCAGCCTGGTCCATCAAATTGCAATTAATAAAAATTACTTACATAAAAAAATTACATACATATGCATGTAGAATTTAAATATATATGCATATTTATATATTTGAAGTCTATGTGTACATTTATGAAGTTATTTATGTTAATATATAATTCGGATTATTTTGATTTATTTATATATACACATTTATGGGTATATAATTTCATTCTAAGTGTATTGATATAAAAATCAAAATAGTTAGAACAAAATTTCATACAATTTTTACATTTAATTTACTTATTTGTAAGTTAGAATATGAGAGCGAGAATTTTTATTAACTTTTGTTTTGTTTTTTACACACATGCAGGGAGACTGCCTGTCAGCAGATACTTGGGACACCTATTGCAGCCATGTGACTGTTAAAGCGATCACATGGCCGCGGGTTCCTAATTCGCAGAGGGAAGACTGCCTGGGCTGGGAGGAACGTCGATCAGGTAAGTACATAATACGGTTATGAATGTTCAGGACCATCACCAGTCCTCAAGGGGATTTTTCCCATGACTGTCAGCGATCGTTAAGATGTTAGTTTGTTTTGTAAATAAACAGGGTAGCAAGGGAAAGCCCTATTTCCTCTTTATAGGATGATATTTAATATGTACAGGTGCACTTAAACATGAAGGGTGGAATTGTGGTACCATAAAACACACCGTTTAAGTGCCAAAAAGGCATTAGTCACAAACACATTGCATCTCAGAAGATTCTTCGTCATTAAGGCGTTAATAGAAATTATAAAACCCTAATCACAAGAGACATACCGAGTTGCTGAAATTCACGGCACTGGTAGAACTATGGTTTTCTTCGCCATCACTGTCCCAATCAGATCCAGGCATGGTTATCTACAATACAATGGGTCAGAGAACGGGAAAAAAATAAACCAAAGTTACATATGTGCAAATGTCAGTGATTGACAATCATTCCTTTAATGGCAAGGCTCATCTTCCTGTAGGCTTGCAACTCCCATGCCTACCCTCTCTGCCAGTCCCTACTTTGGCTACCCATAAGCTATAGGACTCAATTTGAAATCCTGGTACTTTCTTACAAATCTACACAATGCTGCTCCAACCTACCTATCCTCACTAATACTTTAAGTGTCCCACCGAGGCCTTAGACCTACCACTGATGCTCGCCTTAAAGGGACATTAGGCATCAGACCACTTCAGCTCATTAAAATGGTCTGTGTGCAATATCCCATGTCCCTTAACCTTACAGTGGTTTCTGAGAAATTGATTGTTAACTCTTCCTCTAGTGGCTGTCTAACAGACCGCCACTAGAAGGACTTGAAATCAAAACGGACCTTTGGTCTGTTATCAGACGCTGAACGTCCTCACGCTCTGCATGAGGACTTCCAGCGTCAATGCTTTCCTCCATAGGAAAGAATGTAAAAATTATGCGCATTAGGTCTCCCGCCAGCTGGGGAGGAGCGCGGTTGGAGCTTGACCCAGCGCCGAGGAACATCAGCGCAGGAGTCAGGTAAGTCACTGAAGGGGTTTTAACCCCTTCAGCACTGCAGGAGGGGGCACTGCATGAGCATTTAGTGCCAAGAAAATGGGTTTTCCTGGCACTATTGAATCCCTTTAAAGACTTCTCTAGGGCTGCACCATTCCTATGGACTGCCCTTGGTTAGACTTTCACCCAGACTTTAAAAAAAAGTAAACAAAATTGGAAAACTTGCTTCTTTAGGAAAGCATATCAATTAAACAGCTTTTCCGTCCTACACCCCAATTCCTCTCCTGCAACTGTTCTCAAAACAAAACACTAAGCAGTCAATGAATAAAATCCTAGCTACCTACTTTTCTACCCTACCTTACCTTTTGTGTCACTATACCTCACTCCCACTAGCATGTAAGCTAGAGAGCAGTGCCCTAAATCCCTCTGTGTCCATCTCGTCTGGTTACAAATACGTGCTGCAGAATTTGTGGGCGCTTTATAAACTTTATTTTTTTATTTATTTTTTAACATAGCAAGGGAAGGATACAAGAACTGACATTCTAGACAAAGAGAAGCTGTACAAAAAAACACTATAGTGCAGCTCTGCTTGCTTGCCAACCCATTGCTCAAGGCATATGAATGGTTTATTTTATCAGTAACCACATTAGAAAATGCCTAAATTGTGAATTGTGTGTGTTTTGAGGAATGAGAACAAGAATTTGTTATCATAATCTTACAAATTTACAATGTTTTAATGCTAAAATAATTCTAAATTGACTGAATGTATAAGAAAAATTTTTTCCCCCATAAATTTAAGATTTGTGTATGGAATTCCATACCTTAAGTTTAAGATATGTTTTTGCCACTGATCCTTAGTATGGATAGGCAGCACTTTATGACTTCAGGACTATAAAACAAGCAAAAATTTTAATCCCCAGCACAAAAATTACCCTAATTTACAGGAACACTATAGTGTCAGGAACACATGTATTCATGACTATAGTCTAACTCTTTAGGTCCCCAGGCACCACATGGCAAACGTGTTTATTTTCACCCACGCTATTGCTGAGATCAAACTATTAGCCTATCCAATGCATGGGAAAGCAGTAAGAGGCTGTTGTGCATGTGTGTAGCAAAATGCATCTCTTCATTGAATCAATGCATCTCTATAGGCAACGTTAACGCAATATAACTTGTCAAATGCACTTTAAAAGGCTCCATTCATATGAGTTATGTACTGTATTTTTGGCTCTATAAGACGCACCTAGTTTTTAGAGTAGGAATACAAGAAAATAAAAAGTGCACCCCCATAGTGTGTGTGTGTTCTCTCTCCCCCCCCCCATAGTGTGTGTGTGTGTGTTCTCTCCCCCATAGTGTGTGTGTGTCTCTCTCTCTATAGTGTGTGTGTGTGTGTGTGTTCTCTCTCCCCCATAGTGTGTGTGTGTGTGTGTGTCTCTCATAGTGTGTGTGTGTGTTCTCTTATGTGTGTGTGTGTGTGTTTCTCTATAGTGTGTGTGTGTTCTCTCTCTATAGTGTGTGTGTGTGTTCTCTCTTCATGTGTGTGTGTGTGTTCTATAGTGTGTGTGTGTGTGTGTTCTCTATAGTGTGTGTGTGTGTGTGTGTGTGTCTTCTCTATAGTGTGTGTGTGTGTGTGTGTGTGTGTGTTCTCTCTATAGTGTGTGTGTGTCTCTCTCCCTCTCTATAGTGTGTGTTTGTTTCTCCTATGTGTGTTTGTTTCTCCCCCATAGTGTGTGTGTGTTCTCTCTCTGTATGTGTGTTTTGTTCTATAGTGTGTTTGTGTGTGTTTGTTCTCTATAGTGTGTTTGTTCTCTATAGTGTGTGTGTGTTGTGTGTTTGTTCTCTCTCTATAGTGTGTGTGTGTTTCTATAGTGTGTGTGTGTGTGTGTGTGTTCTCTCCTATAGTGTGTGTGTGTTCTCTCTATAGTGTGTGTGTGTGTGTGTGTTCTTCTATAGTGTGTGTGTGTGTGTGTGTGTTCTCTCTTCCCATAGTGTGTGTGTGTGTGTGTTCTCTCTCCCATAGTGTGTGTGTGTTCTCTCTCCCCATAGTGTGTGTGTGTTCTCTCTCCCTATAGTGTGTGTGTGTCTCTCTCCTATAGTGTGTGTGTTCTCTCCCCTATAGTGTGTGTGTTGTATAGTGTGTGTGTTGTTCTCCCTATAGTGTGTGTTTGTGTGTCTCTATAGTGTGTGTTTGTTCTCCCCCCATAGTGTGTGTGTGTGTTTGTTCTCCCCATAGTGTGTGTTTGTTCTCCCCCTATAGTGTGTGTGTTTGTAGTGTGTTTGTTCTCATAGTGTGTGTGTGTGTGTGTTTGTTCTCCCTCTAGTGTGTGTGTGTTTTCTCCCTATAGTGTGTGTGTGTGTTTTCTCCCCTATAGTGTGTGTGTTTTCTCTCCCCCCCCATAGTGTGTGTGTTTTCTCTCCCCCCCCATAGTGTGTGTGTTTTCTCTCCCCCCCCATAGTGTGTGTGTTTTCTCTCCCCCCCCATAGTGTGTGTGTTTTCTCTCCCCCCCCATAGTGTTCTCCCTCAGGGTCCCCCTCTCATGTCGCTGAAGGGATTATTAAAACCCCTTCAGTTTAATCCAGTGCCGGGCTCCCTCGGCGCTGGTGACCTCTCCACGTCCAACGTCACATGAGCCGAATGCGCAGAAAGTGCTGCACGCACATTCAAAGTGTCCATAAGAAAGCATTTCTCAATGCTTTCCTATGGACGCTCTGCAGGCATAATATGCCTTCAGCGTCGCAGAAGCGCCTCTAGAGGCTGGCTTAACCCCAAATTTAAACATAGCAGTTTCTCTGAAACTGCTATGTTTGCATCTGAAGGGATAAAACCTGAGGGACCTGGAACAGAGACCACTTCATTGAGCTGAAGTTGTCTGGGTGACTATAGTGTCCCTTTAAACTCAGTAACTGCTTTAATTAAATAGTTTGTCAGATTATTTAAATTCTTAATTTCCCTTGGGCAACAACAAACGTTCAGTAAAGCCTATTTAAACAACTCCAACAAATTTCACGGCACTGTACAATAGCTGTGCTGCCAACAACAAAGTACTCGAAACAAGACATGAAGGACTGACAGGAGTATAATGTGATGAGGGCTTACATGACAAGTGTAATGGAAATCAAATTACAAGGCAAAAAGAATACACATTTTTTTTTTTTTAAGGATTTTAGAGGGCAATTACGGGATAGGAAGAAAGACTTTTAGGGAGGAAAAGTGGTTAAGTCCATAAAGTCAGTCACTCTCCTAAAAAAAGTTTACAGTACTATTTAAATAAACCTGGCTAGTGATATACAACTCCATGTTCATGTGCAATAATAAAAAGAACCCTCTAATATACCACCATATACATAAACACATGGAAATAACACTTACATTTAAAATTATGTACGCAAGTTAATGTGCACTAGATATACATGTTAAACATTAAAAAAATAAATGCAATATAGTAAAACGAAACAGACGTAGGAAAGTACACGCGTTATAAAGCAGACAGGTAGCTATAGGTGAATAGCGCCCACAAACTACGCAGCGCAGTACACGGTCTGCGGGGCGGGAGGGCCCGCTAACTCCTGTTAATATTCCCATGCTCGGTGCGGGAGGGCCCCGCTAACTCCGGTTAATATTCCCATGCTCGGTGCGGGAGGGCCCCGCTTACTCCGGTTAATATTCCCATGCTCGGTGCGGGAGGGCCCCGCTTACTCCGGTTAATATTCCCATGCTCGGTGCGGGAGGGCCCCGCTAACTCCGGTTAATATTCCCATGCTCGGTGCGGGAGGGCCCCGCTTACTCCGGTTAATGGTCCCATGCTCGGTGCGGGAGGGCCCCGCTAACTCCGGTTAATATTCCCATGCTCGGTGCGGGAGGGCCCCGCTAACTCCGGTTAATATTCCCATGCTCGGTGCGGGAGGGCCCCGCTTACTCCGGTTAATGGTCCCATGCTCGGTGCGGGAGGGCCCCGCTAACTCCGGTTAATGTTCCCATGCTCGGTGCGGGAGGGCCCCGCTTACTCCGGTTAATATTCCCATGCTCGGTGCGGGAGGGCCCCGCTAACTCCGGTTAATATTCCCATGCTCGGTGCGGGAGGGCCCCGCTAACTCCGGTTAATATTCCCATGCTCGGTGCGGGAGTGCCCCGCTTACTCCGGTTAATGTTCCCATGCTCGGTGCGGGAGTGCCCCGCTTACTCCGGTTAATGTTCCCATGCTCGGTGCGGGAGGGCCCCGCTAACTCCGGTTAATATTCCCATGCTCGGTGCGGGAGGGCCCGCTTACTCCGGTTAATATTCCCATGCTCGGTGCGGGAGGGCCCGCTAACTCCGGTTAATGTTCCCATGCTCGGTGCGGGAGGGCCCGCTAACTCCGGTTAATGTTCCCATGCTCGGTGCGGGAGGGCCCGCTAACTCCGGTTAGTATTCCCATAACCCACCCGCTACTTACCTTCCCGTGTACGAGACACCGGTACAGACTAAGCCGGGTATTCCCAGGTAGTCGTATTGCTGTATTACAGAATGACTGATATAAAGCGTTCCTGTAATGGGAGAGCTGGTTAGTCACCGGTGACGGAGACCGTTAGACAGCACGAGTCCCGCGGGGAGCCGTGTTTAAATAGCGGTATAGCTCACTGACCTGTCACTGCGTGCTATCGCGTGCCCCGTCTTGCTCTGGATGGGGAGTGTGTGTGGTATCAGCTGCTCAGACACAGCTCCCAAACACACTGAGCGTGAGACGCACGAGCTGCCCTGCTAAAATAGATCGCGGTGAAGACGTCACAGCCGCTCAGCCAATCAGAGGCGAGTTCTTTCCCGCCAGGCTGTCAGGCGGCCCGTGGTGTAAGGGAATGGCTCGGGCGTGGTGTCATGGGGAGAGTGTCGCCATGCTGGCAGACCGACTTCAAAGGACAGGCTGAGAGTCACTGGTATCACAGTGTTATCAGCATATGGCAACAGTGAGCCTGTCAGGGGGTCCTGAAATAATATCTCCTACTGTTATCACGGCAGTTATTATCCGGTCCTTGAATAATGAATACACACAGCACATTTTATTAAATAATTAGATTTGTTAGCCGAATTGCTAAATGTACAGCGGTATTGGGGGATAAATTATCTATAGGCACTGTTACTCTAGCAGGGTTATTCACTGAATGAGAATGCAAAGTAAATGTCATATTTAAAGGGACACTATAGTGACCAGAACAACTACAGGACCACTATAGCCACCCAGACCATTTCAGCTCAATGAAATGGTCTGGATGCCAGGTCCCTCTAGGTTTAACCCTGCCTGCTGTAAACCTAGTTGTTGCAGAGAAACTGCTATGTTTACATATGGGTTAATCCAGTCTCTAGTGGCTGTCTCATTGACAGCTGCTAGAGGCTGCTTCCGCAATCCTCAATGTGAAAATTGCATTGAGGACACGCTGACGTCCATAGTAAAGCATTGAGTAATGCGTTCCTATGGGCGGTTTGAATGTGCGTGTGGCTGTGGCCGGCGCATTTGGAGCTGACGGCAGGGGGAGGAGAGCTCACCAGCGCTGGATTAAGGTAAATTGCTGAAGGGGTTTCAGCGGGAGGGGGGACCTAATAACCCTATAGTGCCAGGAAAACGAGTTTGTTACACTTTTATAAATTAACCTAGTTACATGCCCTGATTTTGCAAGCAGACAACAGGTAAATTTACTTCCTGGTTTGGTTAGCTCAATGCAGCTGATGTTAAGAGGCAGCAACTGCCCAGAGCACTTGACTTACAAAGACTTCTCGTTAACCTATATTGGGAAGTCTCTGATCGGACAACCATAGAACGTCTGGGTGGAGTTAGGAGAGGGCCTGCAAAGGCAGCAGACAAGGGAACTGCAGGTTTTGCAAGCTGATTTTTGATAAAATACATATTTAAATACATGCTAGTTTTCATTTTGAGTATATGTACTAAACAGTAATTTATATATATTTAGTATTTGGGCAGTGGAGGGCCGAAGATAAGTACAGGGAGTGCAGAATTATTAGGCAAGTTGTATTTTTGAGGATTAATTTTATTATTGAACAACAACCATGTTCTCAATGAACCCAAAAAACTCATTAATATCAAAGCTGAATATTTTTGGAAGTAGTTTTTAGTTTGTTTTTAGTTTAGCTATGTTAGGGGGATATCTGTGTGTGCAGGTGACTATTACTGTGCATAATTATTAGGCAACTTAACAAAAAACAAATATATACCCATATCAATTATTTATTATTACCAGTGAAACCAATATAACATCTCAACATTCACAAATATAAATTTCTGACATTCAAAAACAAAACAAAAACAAATCAGTGACCAATATAGCCACCTTTCTTTGCAAGGACACTCAAAAGCCCGCCATCCATGGATTCTGTCAGTGTTTTGATCTGTTCACCATCAACATTGCGTGCAGCAGCAACCACAGCCTCCCAGACACTGTTCAGAGAGGTGTACTGTTTTCCCTCCTTGTAAATCTCACATTTGATGATGGACCACAGGTTCTCAATGGGGTTCAGATCAGGTGAACAAGGAGGCCATGTCATTAGATTTTCTTCTTTTATACCCTTTCTTGCCAGCCACGCTGTGGAGTACTTGGACGCGTGTGATGGAGCATTGTCCTGCATGAAAATCATGTTTTTCTTGAAGGATGCAGACTTCTTCCTGTACCACTGCTTGAAGAAGGTGTCTTCCAGGAACTGGCAGTAGGACTGGGAGTTGAGCTTGACTCCATCCTCAACCCGAAAAGGCCCCACAAGCTCATCTTTGATGATACCAGCCCAAACCAGTACTCCACCTCCACCTTGCTGGCGTCTGAGTCGGACTGGAGCTCTCTGCCCTTTACCAATCCAGCCACGGGCCCATCCATCTGGCCCATCAAGACTCACTCTCATTTCATCAGTCCATAAAACCTTAGAAAAATCAGTCTTGAGATATTTCTTGGCCCAGTCTTGACGTTTCAGCTTGTGTGTCTTGTTCAGTGGTGGTCGTCTTTCAGCCTTTCTTACCTTGGCCATGTCTCTGAGTATTGCACACCTTGTGCTTTTGGGCACTCCAGTGATGTTGCAGCTCTGAAATATGGCCAAACTGGTGGCAAGTGGCATCGTGGCAGCTGCACGCTTGACTTTTCTCAGTTCATGGGCAGTTATTTTGCGCCTTGGTTTTTCCACACGCTTCTTGCGACCCTGTTGACTATTTTGAATGAAACGCTTGATTGTTCGATGATCACGCTTCAGAAGCTTTGCAATTTTAAGAGTGCTGCATCCCTCTGCAAGATATCTCACTATTTTTGACTTTTCTGAGCCTGTCAAGTCCTTCTTTTGACCCATTTTGCCAAAGGAAAGGAAGTTGCCTAATAATTATGCACACCTGATATAGGGTGTTGATGTCATTAGACCACACCCCTTCTCATTACAGAGATGCACATCACCTAATATGCTTAATTGGTAGTAGGCTTTCGAGCCTATACAGCTTGGAGTAAGACAACATGCATAAAGAGGATGATGTGGTCAAAATACTCATTTGCCTAATAATTCTGCACTCCCTGTAAAGGTATTTTCTCTCACCTGTCAGCTGTGTGCATATGCATTATATGTTTAAAATTAAAAAACAGGAAAGAGAATCTACACATGGGTCTTCTGCTCTCCATGCTTTGTAGTTGCTGTGAATAATTCCTTGGCAAGTGCATCTTGTGCATGAGTGATGAGGGAGGTGCAAATTTTATAGGAAGTGTCTGTCAGACGGGACTTGTAGCATAGAAGAATGGCATGTAGGAGAGACTTTTGATTGGTTGTTAAATTGGGGTAACAAACCTGATGTTACAGAGATACTGCACTGGGAGGTATCGAGACAGGGCAGGGGTGGGCTGGCCTGTGAGACATGCCAGTAATTTCACTTTCATCACTAGAACTGCACAAAATGGGCAGTCCTATCTGGAATAGTGCAGGACTGCCCAAAGAAGGGTCGTGTTTGCCTGGCCTGAACGCATGGCAGGCTGACTTACAGCATCCCGGCTTGTCCCACTTCGGGCTCCTGAAGTGCTCTGTGTGTGGTCCTAGTCCGCTGACACCATTCAGCACAACACAAAAATGTCTAATGATGCACATATGTTGCTCTTGTTGGGGACAGCTTACCTCCCAACATCAGCAGTCCCAGAATCAGAGTGGGAGTGGGTAAAGGTAGCAGGCCAGTGATGCGTTTACATTGCTGGCTCCACCCAAAGGGAGGACCTGTCCAGAAATTAATACACACCAGGCTGCCTAACAATCATTGAGCCAATTGAGGGCAGACCCTGCAGGGAGCGCTGTTTCAGTGTCCAAGTGCCCTGTATATAATGCAAGCATGTATAATGATGCACTTTTGCCATTATTGTTGGGGACAGTTCAACGGACCTCAGCAAACCTTTCAACAGTGGACTCCACCTGACTCACTTCACAGAGAGTTTGTCTCTCTAATAACGTGGTCCGACTTACATTAATTGTTTCTTGTTTGCTTTTGCTTTTGTTTCTCCTGATAGGTAATACGTTAGAGGAAACCTATCACCCTTACCCAGACTGGTCTAAATGTAGGGCCAGATTAAGAGCCCAGTGGGCCTGGTGCTGACAATTATTATGGGGCCTAATTACAGAATCTTATCGACCAAAAACACTAAAACAATCATACCTCCTAAGCGTCATGTATCTGATGGAGATGGTGTTGGAGGGAAGCTCAAAGAGTGCAGCTATACGAAAACACATACTCTATGCTATCTCTCTCTAATTTATGCTTTCATCTTTCAAGTAAACCCATACCCCCTAACAGCAGTGTCCAGTGAAGAAGGAAGTCAATGGGCAGGGTAAAAGGGTATGCCACTGGTGCGAATCACGTGATCAGACCTGCCAAAAGGGGCGTACATGCCCAAAATGGGGGCATGTCTGTCGAAAGAAATGGAAGGCCAGCCTGGCATGAAGGCATGTCAGGCTGCCTGCCAATAATGCAGGCTGTCCAACTAAGGGCATACTATGCAGGCAGCACCCTGAGCTTGACATAAATGCATCAAATAATGCGCTTAGTCCATGCTTTCTGAGGACCTAGCACTTACATGTTCACTTGTCTCCTTACCTTCTTACTAGCAGACAAAAGTTCCTGGTATATAGTCTGGGACAGAGAAAAGGTGTATGTAGTGAGTGTAGAAGAAAGGGGACATGCCACAGTGTTAGAGAGACCAAAGTCTGCATTACCTTAACTAATTTTATTGTCAGCCAGTCCACACAAGTTTTGTTCCCATACATCCCTCATAAACTTCCAAACTTAAAGATACACTATAGTCAACAGAACAACTACAGCTTATTGTATTTGTTCTGGTAAGTAGAATCATTCCCTTCAGGCTTTTTGCAGTAAACACTGTCTTTTTAGAGAAATAACTCCACTGGCCACTCCTTAGATGGCTGCTAGAGGTGCTTCCTGGGACAGTACTGCCTAGTGTGCAGTACTGCCATTCAGTGTCTCCACCCTCTGCATGCAGACACTGAACTTTCCTAATAGGGATGCATCGATTTAATTTATCTTCACGAGGAGATGCTGATTGGCCAGGGCTATGTTTGACTTGTACTGGCTCTGCCCCTGATCTGCCTAGTTGACAGTCTCAGTCAATCCTATGGGAAAGCATTGTAATTTGCTCAGACCACCTCTTCTGATGATGTCGGCAGACAGGGGCAGAGCCAGCAGCTCCAG